GTGCGAGAATTTAGTTTAAGGTCACTTTTGACCCTAGAAATTAATTTCAGATGTTTCAATTTAATCGTGATTAGACCAGAAATTTACAAGCAGCTCCAATTATTATTGAAACATAAAAGTTCACCGTTTTTTTTACAATTTTTTATTTTATTTCTGTAGTTTTCATTACTTCCCTTGTTGTAATTAAAACTTCGCTGCCTTGTAAGTATTAAACTTTGCTCGTTTGCTGTCAATACGCGTGCATATTTATTATTTGCATATCGTGTTTCTCGTAGGAACAAAAAGTGACGGCAGCTTTTATGCAATTATACAACGACCGGCAGAAAACTCGCCGGCCCTAATTGGAACACTTCGTTAATTGGAATACAGCACAGTGAACAATTCGCGTGCAATAATTCGGCACGCAATGCTGTATGCATGCACGTGTGTGCATTTATTAGCCGCTGTGTATAATTAAATTTTTCCACATGTCGCGAGTTGAAACGTGTCTGACTCGTCACAAAATCAGCCGCAGACACCAAAACTACTTCGATACAATTTCACCCCCACAACTCCGAATTATCACATTCCTGCTGTCTGGCTGTGACGCGTTGTGTGATGAGTGAATCTTAATTCGTTTCGGCCGAAACTTCATTATGAGTGAGACAAGTTGAAAATTAGTTGTAGTGGAAACAACATCGAATTATTCAAAAGCAGAAAGCAAATTTTCATACAGATGTGGGAATTTATATATAATTAATTTTGAAATTAAATTTATTAATTCAAAACTTTAAACAGAAATTATACTTAAAACTTTTTTAAAAGATTTACAATATTATTGCTATTTATTTGGTTATTTTGATTGTTGTTTAATGTGGACAAATAAACCTCAACAACACTCAACAATAATAATGAATCATCAATAAAATAGAAATACTTTTTTTTCTGTAAATTTTATTAACTATTTTGTTTTTTTAAATAAATCCAAGTAACCATATGCCCAGAAATTTTTATGAATAGATCTGTTTTTTCATGAAATTCAATTTTCCAAATCACCACATAAAGAAATGCAGATTTTAAAACTTTGCACGTAGGCCATTTGCAAATTCATTCCTCGGCGCTACAAATGGAAAAAGCCGTGACGTCGTAAAACTTGTACGATCCGTCAGAAAATAAAGCTTTATTTCGGCGCGTTGGGAAAAATGGGCCATTGCTCACACTCGGGAAGCATCAGCAAACCCATCAACCGCAATTGTCAATTTTTCATCTTTCTCTTTCCATCCGGCGACGAGGATTTTTTTTCCATCCATTCTTTCCTAGAGAATTTAATCCGCCCACCCCCCGATTGAAAAATGGCCGCCATCGCTTATATTCGCCGACATCAATCAGCAAAAATGGGACTGTGCGAAGAATGCGCCAAGTTTTTGTTTGAATATATATTTATTCGTTAACGATGGCGCGAGAATGGGAGGCTGGAAAACGATCATCGCTCGCAGCGAAAGGGAAAAAAAGTTCAACCCCTCTCGAGCAAGTGGGTCAAATCCATTACACCTGCCGGAGAACGAGTGGGCTGCGCTCTCCAACGTGCCCTCTCGGATGTCAAGACCCCCGCCAGCCGATTGTTCCAGCCGGGCGTGCTTTCTTCTTTCTCCGCCGAGTGTAATTCGAGAGTTCCATTTGCAGAGTTGCAAACAATCTGCAAAAGCGCGTGTCTGAAAGGAAAGAATGAGGGGTGAAAAGGCTTGATTTTATTTTAATTAATCAATTCTTTTGATAAAGAGACCCACGCCAGTAAAAAAGGCGCTGCTTTGTGCAGAAATTTTTGCTACAATTCTTCCAGCCAGGCTGACGTAGTGAAATATTTAAACACCAAAAAAAATCCTTTTCAATGAAAAAAGTCCTAAAGCACAGATTTTAGTATGAAATATATTAAATATAAATGAGTTCCATTTTTAGTTTCTGCTTTGGGTTGGATTTTAAAAATCGGAAAGACTTACATTCCAATATTAATGGTTTTATGCAAATGTGCAGTAATTGTTTATTCTAGACTTTTAAGATAAATTGCAATAATTTGATGTTTTTTTGCACAAAACAGAAGATTCTTCTATCCCTGAGCTGTTTTATAATATTTGTCAAAACAAATTATTCAGCTTTAATTTATGGTTATTATAAATGAAATATAATTTGACATTATTTAAAACTTTTTACTGACTTTTTAAAGGCATATATAAACTTTATAAATTCAAATTCTAAATGTGGTCGGACCATTTTATGGAAAAAGTTTGTAGTTTTTAATATTTATCAGGACCACATTCGTTATATTTCCACTCTCAGATACATAAATTAGTAGCAAACTGGTCGAAGCCCGCGCTTTAATCTCGGTTTTAAGTGCGGCAATAAACGCTCGGCAGTCACATTCGCCGCGAAATAAATTCATCGTGCTCGCGTTTTTTATTTCGGTCAGCAGCTCATTTCCGCGCCGAGGCCGTTATTTTTTTTATTTAGAAAAAGAAGGTGCTGCGTCGGCCGGGCCGTGTGATTTATCTCGACGGACTCTCTTCCTGCGGCCTAAATATACGAGACATTCCGCTGATTTATTTGAGTGTCAGCTGCCAGTGTGAGGTGTCATATTTTTAATTTTCGCCGCGCCTCCCCCGCTAGTCCAGAAGAACCTACTACGGGGGAGTGTTTCCGCCTTGTTTGACTTACAAACTCGCAACCGAGCGTGCATGTTAATTTCAGACCCGATCCTAATGAAGCGAGCTGAAAATTTCACTCCGAGGTAAAATGATTCAAATATTTAAATTTAGATGAAAAACATGTAACCAAAAAATTTTCCAAATAGAACAAAATTGACATTTTTTGCAATGAAATAAGAAAAGTTACATCTTTTGAAATGATTTAAAACAATACTGTTTTAATATTTATTAAATAATTTAAAAATTTACTGAAAATGAGAGACAAATTTTTCTTTTTACAAACAAATATTGGTAATTTAATTGCTATTGATAAATTAAAAATCATAAGCAGAATTTCTAATGAAATAATAATTTCAACTCTGTGATAAAGAAATAAAAATTTAATTTAAGATTTAATTAAAATATTTTGTCACCCGAAAATGGTTAAAAGCAATTTTCCCCAAAATTGGGCAACTTGGACACAAAATTGCGTGTTTGGGTTTAAAAACCGACGCCATTAATCATCCTTAAGAGTATTAAAGAAACAATTTTCACTCGAGAGAGACGCGTGGCACCACCGCTGCACACGAAACTTCTAAAAAAGCGAGAAATGATTTACAGCCGCTGCGTGTTAACACACCGGACTGCGGCCTTCTTTTTCCCGGCCTGTTGGCTTTTTGGCCAAAATTCGCACGAAAAATAAATAATTTATGGCGGTGCATTACGAGTCTCGCGGGTGGCAATTTATCGGTCCAAAGGGGCAGCAATGGACTCTCCTATTCACGGCGAAATCATTCCGAGAGAGACTTTCCCAGAGCTCTGTAAAAAAAGAAAACCGGCCGGTTGCAGCTGAGTAATTGAATTTACGACGTCGGGTTTTTCCTCCTCTTATTCCTCTTCTTGGTAAAAAAGAAAGGTCTGTGAAAAGCGAAATTTGTAAGCAGAAAAAAAGACGAGCACAACAAGACATGGAGATTTTTATATAATTAAATAATATGAAATATATTCATAAAATCTGTAATATTTCTTGTCATGTTTGGCATATTAATAGAAAATTATTTAAAATATTTTTTTGAAAATAAAGTCCTTTTTAGTCAAGAAATTAAGTTTTCATCAAAACAATTCCATACTTTTCCAAAAGAATGCTAAAACTTTAAAGGAATATTAATTGAAGCCGTGAAAGTAAAACTGCTCCTTGCCACAACTTTGTATTTATCTCGACAGCCGCTTTTGTACATTTGTGTTTTGTGACGCTTCGGTCGCGTTTCTATGCCAGGGAGATCGGGACGCAAAAAAAAAAGGAAAAGTTTCCGCTCGCATTTTCAGTCAAGCAAGTTTGCTAGCAACTTTCGGACAGCTGCCACTTTGGCGCGATGTTCGTTTTCAGCTTCCTTATAAATATTTCGGACGGAATTGTATGCAATATTAATTTTTGGCATCCAGCGGTGCGCGTCTATTGTTGGGGCGACGCGGAGAGCAAAATTGATTTTAATGAGTGAGCCAGCCGGGTGCTAAGCGTCAACTGTCAGACACGTGACAGCGTCCGAAACAAAGAGAAACGGCTGCTTTGTAATATTAAAATTATAAATAAAAAAATTAATCATAAAATCATTTTACTTAAAGATGCGTTGCTTAAATCATGTTATTTGTGGAAATATCAAATTGTTTTCAAATATTTACCAACGATTATTTAAAATTATATCCACAAAATACAATATTAAGAAGAATTGCAAAAATAAATTACAGGGAAAAAATTAAAAACAAAATATATTTTTAAACTTTTTGTAATTTCCTAAATAAAAAAATTCATTAATATCCATTTTAAAATCAATTAAAACCGCTAAATTTTATTTATTATTCATTTTATTAATGTTTTAGTAAAATAACTATAGAAAATATAATTATTGATTAAAACCTTCTACTTTCCACGGTCCCAATTTACCATTAAAAACTCATTTATTTCAAGCGGTGTAAATATTTGGTAAAAAAACGCACACTATGTTGTTTGCTTCCAAATCGAATTTTCGAATTTTAGTAACAAGTTCATAATTTATACAACCTGTAAATATAATCATCCATTAGCTGTAGTGAATTGAATTCGGCACACATAATAATACGAGTTTAAATTCAATTTCAATGACAATTTTAATTTTAATTCAGTTAATTATTTAATAATGGAGAATTTGGGAAAATTGAAAAGAAAAACATAACACATATTTAAGTACAAAAAAATTAAATATTCAAAAACAACTTATATATCTTTCAAACTGGCACATAATTATTGAAATATATTTATTTATTTAATTTTTTTGTCTTAACTGATAATTTAAATTATTGTTGCAGAGTGTTCGTGACCTTCTGAGCGACATGCCGATCCAGTCGGTGCAGCTGCAGACGGGCCCTGGGTCTGGCTCGGCGCGGGTGTCCCTCGAGGAGCCCGAAATGCTGGAGGAGTGGGACCGCGAGCGCGTGTTTTGTCTGCGGGGCCAGCGAGTGCCCGTGAGTCCGGCGCCCACCGAGATGCTGCTGTGCGTGGCGCGGCTGCCGCCCAAGTTCAACGAGCACCAGTTCAACGCCCTCGTGCGAAGCTACGGGGAGGTCACCAGGAGCTTCCTCATGATCAGCGAACGCACCGGTTCGTCCGATTGTTTATTAATTTTATACGATCAAATTAAAAAAAATGCAACCAGTTCGCTCTCGGCGGTGCATTCCAACGCCAGCCAGTTGACCTTTAGCGGCTGACCTCAGTCACTCTCTGTTGGAAAAATTTCCCTCAGAGATATATTTGCTGGGAAAAAAAATTCAAAACCTGATCCTGTGCCAACAAGAGTTGCACCACCTGCAATTAATTTGTTCAAATTAAATGTTAACCAAGCAAATATTATAATATTAATGATTTTTATGTTTAAAATTGTTTCCAAAATTTTTGCAGGAATTAAATTCTTTAAAGAAAGTTAAAAGCAGTGAAATAAAAAATTAAGATAATCACATGAAAAAAGATTAAAAAATTTTTAAGATATTTTTTTTTCATTTTAATTGAATTTAATTCACATTGATCGATTTAAACAAAATAATAACAATAAATATTTTATTTGAATTTAAAATTCAATTTGAATTAATTGAAATCAATTGGAATTAAAAGATTTTGATATTGAAAGTAAATTCAATTATTTTTAATTTGGAATTCAATTTTTAATTTTTTTTTTTAAATGATATTTATGGTCTCAGACTCTCCAGGAAATAGTCTTTTGATGTGATATAGTAATAAGCGTGATAAGCCTTCTTAATGAGGAGTAAATAAATTTCAATTTATATTAATATAAAAAATTAATTTATCCACTTCCCTATTTTCAAATAATAACTTTCATTTTTAACAATTAAAAGTGTCAAATCTGATTCGAAGATAATATTTTTTTTTAAATAAAATTAATACATTAAATTTCTAAAAAATTGTTATTACTTTCAGGCCAAAGCAAAGGCTATGGGTTTGTTGAGTATGCGCTGAAAGAGACTGCCCTGCAGGCCAAGAGCCTCCTGGACGGGAGACACCTGGACGGCTGCACCCTGTGCTGTGATTGGCTCGAGGCCAGCCACGTGACCTTTGAGTCACTGCACTCCAAGTGCCTCTATGTAGACAGACTGCCACCCAACTTCAGGGATATGGCCGAGTTCAGAAGGATCTTCAGTTCGGTCAACAACCCGCCCTATTGCCAGGTAAAAAAATTATACAAAATTATATTTTCTTTATTTCATTTTATTTTTTTATTTACATTTGCTTGAAATTTCTTGGAAAATGAAGATGATTTGAAAAATTCAAATAATGAAATAATATTCCAAGATGTATTTTAATGAAAAATTGCAAAACTTTTATAATTAATTGTCATCATTTTATCATGATTATGCAAAAATATGTAATGCTAACTTTGTAATCAAAAATGATTTTTTTATTTAATTAAAATAGATAATAATTTTGTATATAAATCTGTATGTAATTTCTGTTCAAAACATATTTTTTTTAATTTTAGCTTTTTTATAATTAAATCTTATTTTTTGCTGCATTTTTTTAAAATTTTATTTGATTGCCCTGGGATTAAACGTCAAACATTTAATTTAACTGCAATTATGTCGGTCAGGCGCTGTTCAAACAGTGCATTAAAATTAATTGCCAGTATTGTGTGGTCGCCATATCGTGGTATAATATTGGATTAATATGCTGATGAAAATGAAATATTTACAAACCGCAGTAAATTCACTCATCTCTCCCTCTCTCTCTCTCCGTTTTGAGCCGATCCTAAGCTCTGAATAATTAATTCGAGCTGTTGGTAATTTGGTTGACCGTCCGTGTTTGCACTTGCAGATTGCTCTGCGCAACGGCTGCCCTCAGGACTGGGGCCTCGTCGAGTTCAACACGGCCGACGAAGCCGAACAGACGATGCAAGCGGTCGAGAGTGCCCAGCTGCACGGGCACCAAATCAGGGTCAGCTTCTACATCCCCGGGGTCAGGGCGATCAACCTTTACCTTAAACTCTTGAATGAAAACGTAAGTAAATAAATCTGAATTTATTGCATGATATACTTCTTAAATTTTCTAATACACGAGGTGCATTTTCTGTCTCTTTAAATGGTACTTTTTTTCTTTTTTATTAATTCGATGTGTTTTTTATTTTATACAATTTTGTTTGAATATTCATTAAAAAAGTGCTAATTTGATACTTGTTTGTTATAGTCGACGTATGTAATTAGCATTAATTTTTTTATTCATTGTTTTTTTTTAACTTTTTTCTAGTTAATTTCGTAATTTTTTAAATTATACCAAATTTCTATTGTTTCACAGCCAAACAAGAGCAAAGGTGCTCTGTTACCGGATCCTCCAGCACCGGCAGTGTTCCAACAACTTCAAAATTTGGCCAAACAAAATCCAGTCTGTGAGTTGTTGTTTGTTTGAATCTGAAAGGAAATATTTGCTAAAATTATTATGTTTTTCCAGTTGCCCAGAATCTGCAGAACATAATTTTGAATCAAATCCAGAATCTGCCTGCCCCGAAGGCAGCAGAGGCGGCGTCGACTTCCGCCTCCAGTCCCCTAGCCGCCCCCACAGGCGCCCTCAAGTGCCCTTCCTCTTCTCCAGTCTCGTCCCCGTCTCCTTCAAAGACTTCGCCGACTGCCAAGCCGCCCCCACCGCCTCCACTTCCGCAGGCGGCTGTTGTGCAACAGCAGCAGCAACAGACCAACCAGGCTGCCCTCGTAAGTTGCTGATTAATAAAAGTGGAAGAAATTGAGCTCTATAATCATAATCAACGCTGAAAGTCTTAAAAATTTGTAAAATTTTCTTTAGATTAATAAATTTTTCAGGATAAATTTTAAAACTATTTTAATTTAATTATTTTTTTCTTTATTAATATAATGATTTTGTTTGGGAAAAGTATGAAAGTACATACTACTCAATAATTTAAGATATTATACATTCATTATTTATTTTAATTTATAATTAATGATTAAATCCTTTATCAGAAAAATAGATTAAAATTGTCTCTTAATAAAAGATATCAAAATCTGTTTTTTTTTTCAAAAGTGATGCAATATATTTCAGTTTTAAACCTACAAATTTTTAGTATATATGATTGAAATTTTAGTAAAAACTTTATATTTTAAATAATCATTTTTTAATTTAAATTTGCATCCCGATTTGCAGGTTGTCTACTTGGCAGCACAAATGCAGAGCCAGATGGGGGCCAGTTCGCCTTCACTGCTGGGCAACCCGCAGATGCTCGCCACCCTGCAGACCCTCATCAAGCAACAAGGACCAAACGCTGCGCAGGCGGCCGCCCAGGCGGCCGTCACGGCAGCCAGTCAGTTGGGCCAGGCGGCCAACACAATGAAGCCGGCGCTGCTGCCCAAACCAAAGGCGGCCGCTGAGGCGCCGCCCCCAGGGCCGCCTCCAGGGCCACCCATGAACTGGACCATCCTGCCGCCGACGCCCACCCTGCTGGCCGTCTCCGAAGAGGCCGCCCCCTCTCCTCTAGAAATGTGGATTGGCCAGACCCATGTGGCCGCCGCCGCAGAGGCGGCCGCCCTTTTGGCCGGCGGCCTTGTGCCCGCCTTCCCTGCCGAATGGGGCCTGCCACCCTCACCGCCCCCGTGGCCGGCCATGGCCACCCTGCGGCCGCCATGGCCGCTCGGCTGGGCCCAGCCCCCGCCCCCGGTGGCCGCCACTGTGGCCCCCGGCGTGGCCATGACGCCCCTCGGCCAGAAGAGGAAGTACAGCCAATTCCTGCCGAGTCCCGAGCCGAGCCCCGAGGGCAACTACATCGGCCAGCACTCGCAGGGCCTCGGCGGCCACTACGCCGACTCCTTCTTCAAGCGCAAGAAGAAAAACTAGAAATTCAATCGCCCCCGTCGGCGGTTTGGCGCCAAAAGTGCATTTTCCCCTGAGTCTTTAGATTTTATTCTTTTTTTCTGTTAGTGACATGGAAGGGAGGAATTTCCTTGTTTTGGGATTCGATTTTCTCAAACTCAGGAAATTCTCCACATGGCTGCAGCTTTTCCATTTTTGCTAATTGTACAATTGTGGAGATGTTTCACCTGTGCTTTTCATTCAAAAACATAATCCAAAAAAAAAATCATCTTGGTACAAGTGGGTGCTGGTTGGTTCTATTCAATTTTCTTTGCTTCTTTGAAGCCGTAACACATAAATATGATTGTATATTTTTTGCTTTTTTCAAGTCCTATTTTTGTTGAGAATCTCGTGGATTTGAAAACTTTCAAATTATTGAAAATAACTAAATTGCTGCGAAGATTCCTGATAATATTTTTTATGATTATTGACTGTACTTGAGCATTGAGAAATGCTCCTCATTAAAAATTTTGAGTAATTTTTCATGTCTGCAAAAATATTCGATCGTCAGGAATCTTTCTGGCAATTTTATTATTTTTGGAGCTCTTCAAACAGAGGTTGCAAATCTTTGTCATATCTTTCGAATGTAAGTTTTGAAAGACTGCAGATCACTTTTCAATTTTTCTCATCACACGCAAACATAATTATATACATTTCCCACCAACATAAAATTTTTGAAGCACATTCATTCACACACAGGAGGAGAATTTCAAAGAAAAATGCACCAATCCAGACGTGACTTTTGCAGCTGACCACAAACGGTGTGTACGATATTTGAAAATATAAAAGCACACATTTTGAAAAGCTGGATGCGAGTGTGTAAAATTATGTGCGTTTGATATACAAAAAGTGAGGTGTGTAATAAAATAATTATATTATTATCTATCACCAAGTTGCTCTCTGTCTATGGAAAAATAATCTCTAGCTGTTCTTATCTCATCTCTCTCTGTCTATAGGATTTAAAATCTTAAATGCCGCCTGTTATTTAGTGAGCGATTTTTGTGAAAATGAAGTTTCGAAGTGGACTTCGATTGTTGATTCTTTTTATTATTATTTTTTTCCTAGTATTGTCAGGTGGTTATAATAGATATTCACTCACTTTTCCTGACAACGAACAAAGTCTTGGTCTTTAGGTGTTATTTTAGCACAACCTCTACCGAGTTTAAGCAAAACCATCCAACTGAATAATTGGAATATTTTACTACTCGTAGATATATTATCGGAGCTGTGTGCTAAAATCCATTTATTTTATAAACGGCGCATTTTTTTTCCTCTGCCTAGTTGACAAGTAGGTTGTAATTGTTAGGTTCTTATTAAGTCTTAATTTATTATTGAGTTTGTTATTATTTTTCTTTTGAAGGCAACAGACAGAGCTCAATAATTTAAACTTCTTCTTCTTCTTTGGCTTTCCCTTCTTTTCCACACAAACATGAAATTAGCGCCAATTTTGAAAGAAGGGCCCACAATTTAATTTATATAATATATAAATTTGAGATAAACACACTCTTCCTTTAATTACATTAAAAAACGGATGAGAGAAAGAAATAACGCTATGTCTAAATATTGATGTTGCCTGCTAATTGGTGGACATAAAAACTACACCCTGCTGAATCTATATGATAAAGTGTTTAATTGTGATGATGAATTATGGAGCTGATAGAGCAAATTGACTATAATTTATGGAGTAAAACGATACATTTGATTCACACACTGCTATCAGTCTATTAGAGGATTAAGTTTATATGTTTTGTTGATTTCTCAAAAGAAAATATATCAAAGTATATCGATACGACGACATTACAACTGTTTGTTTTATTTCACCGTCGCATATTTATCCCCAAAAATGATTTGGTCTGAAAATTTCTAAAAAAAAAAAAAAATATGATAGAAGAATGATTGTAAAATTTGTGAAATAATAAATTATTGACTCAACCAAAGACCGAAAGATAAAGTCAAAAAAAGAAGCTGCTGCTTGGTTAGTGGAGCTCCCTTATGGGTATGCTGCGCCGCCGAACATAAGGAACTTGCAGGTTGCATACAAATAACATACTCTTGAATTATTTAAGGAGATGATTAAAATATTTTGTTTTTCTTTTCATTTAAAGAATTTTTAAATGAGGTCACTCAAAGTTATGATCAGGCCATGATATAAAGAAACTTAAAATTTCAAGTATGGTTCATTAAAGTAAAATTTGAAAATTCACACAATTTCTGTAAAAAGTAATTTATTTCAATGATTTTACTTTCATTTTTTTCATCTCACATAATGATTTATAGCAGGATAAACAAATCTTTACACTATTTTCCAATCAATTTTCTATTCATTTTTATAACAAGAAAATAACTTCATTTTGTAATTAAATTATTCAAAAAAACTTATACAGTTCAAAACCTGACAACGTTATATCGGAGTGGAATGACATGTAAATTTAAAGGACAAGGCCAGCAGCAATCAGGCTTATGAAATTATTTCCACTTAAAAAAATCTCGAGCTGTGCGACTGAACTACGGAGAAGATGTGTTGTGACCCTAGCTGTTGATAAAAGTCCCAACCGCAATCGTCACTTCCTCCGTCAATTGAATTAATAAAAAGAGAGCAAAAGCCAAGAGAGATAAAGAGCAAGAAAGTCAAACGCTCGCAGTGCCCCCGAGTAAGACACGAGACGAGCTGCTGAGAAAAGAGAACCATGCAGTTCCCGAGGCACTTTTTGGGGCTCTGTTTCCTCTTCTCATGTAAGTTTTTTAATGCAATTTTTTTAAATATTTTTATATAAGTATTCAAAGGTATTTATTTATTAGGATGTGTATTTAATAAAAAAAATTACTTTAACTACAATTGATTAATTTTCTAAAATATTATTTTGACAATATACAGCAATAATTTTAGAATATTTTATTACATATATATTTTTTAAATATTGGCGTTTTTTTATTATCAATAATTATATGTATCAAAAAAAGCATAACACAAGTAAAATTTTGTGTATCGAAAAATAAAATAATTAAAAATAACAGTGTGAATAATAATTTTTATAAAATCTCAGTTGTTCTTACTGAGAGCAATGCAGATGATACCATTGATGAAGACACAGATGATTCTTCGACTGTTCCCTTCAAACAGGGAATTCGATTCGACGACTTCGATCTGAAATTTTGCAAGGTTTTTATTTCCTTTCCTGCAATTTTCAATAACAGAGAAATTAGATTTTCATATTATTTTGTTTTCAAAGGCGTTGTACAAGTCGCAAGCGGGAAACGTGGCCGTGTCGCCTGTCAGCGTGAAATTGCTGCTGGCGATGATTTACGAGGGGGCCGCGGGAGATTCGGCCCGAGAAATCCAAACCGCACTTGCTCTCGGAGAAAAGTCGGAAACGAGGCGCAAGTTCAGAGGAATTGTCGACTCGTTAGTGGTAAGATAATGAAAAACAGTGACATTATTAAACAGCCGGATAAATGATAATTTTCACTGATAGTGATAATGCACTAGAAAAACAATTTATTAAATAATTAACATTTTTCTTATATTCCTATAGTTCAAAATTCAATCAGATTTGGCCTAAACTTGCTATTTACAATATTTTTACCCTAATTTTCCAAGTTTAATTGAAATTTTGTGACTAACAAATATTGATTTTTGGGCCATTTTTTAATAATTAATTTCTCAATTAAAAGTCAAAATTTTTGTTTTCACATCGGATTACTTAAAGCCAAGTTTTTCTCGCACAGCTTCAGTAAAATCACGTAAAAGCCTCTCAAAAAGAAAATAATAATTCAATTTTGCAAAAAAGAAAAAATAAAAAGTCTCCGAATATTCCTTAATTGGATAAAAAGACACAACACGCAAAGATCCGTCGCCAGAATAATTTTTGGAGTGAATTTAAATTTAAATAAGTTTTTACCAGTCGTAATTTCATTTAAGTCGCTTTTTTCCTGATGTAAATTTAAAAAATAAAATAAATATATATTTTAAAAGTCAATTAAAAAAATTTCCCAGACCGACGCAGACGGCAAATGCGAGCTGGATCTGTCAAGCAGGCTGTTTGTCAGCCCACAGGCGTCCTACTCGATGGGCTACCGAAGGGTGCTCTACACGCACTTCAAAGCCGAAATCATGCAGGCCAATTTCTCCTTCCCACTTGAGGCCGCCGAAGTAATTAACAGCTGGGTCTGCAACGCCACCAACGAGCGAATCAAGGAAATCATCAGCCCCAGTTAATTATTTTAAAATGTAGCTAAAAAAAAATGTTAAAATTTATTTTGAAAAAAAAAATACAGACGATCCCAACTTGGCCGAAATGCAGATGGTTTTGGCGAACGCGTTGTTCTTCAAGGGCTCGTGGCAAATGCCGTTCAACCCTGACACCACTGCTAAGGGTGACTTCCACCTCCTGGACGGCACCACTGTCAAGGTGGACATGATGAGGACGAGGGGTAGTTTTTATTATGTGGATGAAGAGCAATGCGGCTTCAAACTCATAAGAATGCCTTATCAGGTAAAATAATAATTAATGACATCAACTCTTCTCAAAATAACAAAGAAAAAGTTTTTAGATTCAAATTTAGTTTTTTTTTTATTACAGAGTTGAGGACAAATTATGTAATTTTTTTACACAATTTAAAAAAAAATTATTGTTAGCAAAATTGCTCACAAAGTAATTATTATTATTATCTATTCTTCTCGGTGTAAGCATTTTATCTTTAAAAAAAATAAAATGATAATAAAATTAAAATGTTTAAATTATATCTAATAATTCAATTTAAATTAAATAAAAAGTGACACACTATTCTTTTATGTTTATTAAAGTAATTAAAAATTGACTAAAAAAATGAAATAAAAATTTTAAATTTCTTTAATTTTAGGGTGGAAAGTATTCTATGTATCTGATGCTTCCCAAAGAGAAAACCGGTCTTATTAAACTGGTCGAGGAAATCACCCCTGACAGTATCAGAGAGGCGATCATGAAAATGCAAAAAATCGACGTTACCATCGGCCTACCAAAATTTTCCGTCAAGCTCAGAATCGACACAAAATCAATTTTAAATGAGGTCAAATATAAAACACATTTCTCAATTTGTTTCAAATGATTTTTGGAAACATTTTAGTTGGGAATCAACAAAATTTTCACTAATGCGGCGGATATGCCGAAATTGTCCAAGGACAATTCCATGCACGTGTCAAAATTGATTCACGAAGCCGGTCTGGACGTGGACGAATTGGGAAGCACCGCCTACGCAGCTACTCGTAAGTTTTAAATCGATTTGTTTAAAAAACGAAATGAATATATAAAACAAAACTAAAATAACAGTGATGGAACTTGCGGTTATTAGAAAATTAATTAATTTGTTTTCGATTACCATGATTTAAGAACAATTTTATATTATTTTAGAGTTTGGATATAAATTTGGATTTTCCTTGGTGGGTTTTCGAGTCGAAGAGAAAATCCCAACATGCGTAATGTTTTTTCTATGAAACGATGAACTACTTAAAAAACCCACCAAGGAAAAGCCCAATTTCAATTTAAATACCATGAAACAACTCTGGATCGTTAAATTGTGCTACAAAATTCAATTAATTAATTTTTTAATAATAATGGATTAATTGAATGCTCAATTTTTAAACTATTTTCATAAAAGCTCAGTAAATTTTGGAGTTTTTCCATATGAAACTGTGTTGCTAACTAATTCAAAGTTTGCTTTTTTGATTGATGTTAAGTTTGGATAAATAGTTAATTGTTTTTATATAGAAAAACATCAGTCTCAGCCATTTTATTACTTGTGGCTATTTAATGATTTCTCTTTCAATCAATATTTTCACTCAAATCTCAATTAATTTGAATGATCTTTTTAATTTTATAATAAGAATAATGTTTTTTAAAGTTTTGTGCAGAGTAATGTCTTGTTAAATCCTTTTTTAATAAATTTGTATATACTATATTTTTATTTTATTTATTATTTATTGCTTGATAATTGCAAATTATAAAGCCAAAAATTTTAATTTTGGAATATTTTTTTATTAATTTTTCCGACTTTTGGAATTTTTGCTGGAAATTAATGTATTTTAATATCATCTTATTTTTGCAGATGGCCAGATGGTGCCGAAAATGCAGCAAGATTCGGTGGTTTTGTTGGTGAACCACCCGTTCGTATTGTTCATTAAGGACGACACGACCGAGACGGTGGTGTTCGCGGCCAAGATAGACAACCCGCTTGTCGGCTCTGCCACTACTGCACCTGCGAGCATAAATGAGCCGCAGGCCCGCGCCCTGCACGCCGACCCTGAGCCGACGCCGCCGCAGGACGAGAAGGTCGTCAGCCTGCCCAGTCTGTTCTCGACCAAAATGGAAGAGACGATGGTCGCGGCCGAGCACAGAATGAACACCTCCCGCAATGTGCAGGAGGTGGCCACTGAAAAGCGCACCGACGAGAGGGAAAGTGTCGTCATGAGGATTCCGCCCAAGGCGAGCAAAACCGCTCCGGCTAACTGAAAAGAGTATTTTATATATTCAAAGTTGTAGAAATATAAGCTGTTTTAATGTAATTCTCAATTAAAATTTTACAATACAAACTCCAAATTTTAATTTCCTGACCATCAGAAAATTTGAATTTCATTTAACTTTATTCCCTATATTTTTTGTTAAATTGCTCGAAAATTGCAACAAAATTTGTGTTTGCAAAAAAAAAATCAAGCACCAGACTAGGAGAAATTGTTATTTTATAAAAGGAACTTAACTCATCTTTAGGGTCTTTTGTCTTTCGCACTTTTCTTTACTTTTATTTTTATAATTAAGTGCATTAAAATTATGTTGAATGCCTTTATTATCAAAATTTTACGTCAGTTGAAAATTTTAAATTCTCTGAAAAATCAATATAAAATTTTTGTAATACAGTTTATTTAAAACATGACAACTCAAATATTGATTCCTACATAATTATTTGTTTATTTTAAATAAAATATATGCGTTTAGCGAAACTTAATACTTAATATCATAAGCATTTCTGTCTTAATTTTAAGGTGTAGTACCTAATAATTATAATGTACAGAATTTAAAAATTTAAAACGTAGTAAATAAAAAAATGAAATAAATTTCCTAAATTAATTTTTCCCTCGAATAAAATTGAGCTAAAATGTCTTTAAAAATTATATACGCACACTGCGATTTTAACTGAAATATTGTAATCTTGCTAACTTCTTATTATTAATATTTTACTAAATATATTGACTTCTGTTTGTTTTTTCTTCAATAATTATTACTTCTCCAGTTATAAATTATTTCTAGAATATTTGTAAATTTCTGATACATACATAATATTAATATGTTTTTCACTCTTGGATTTTGAAAACAAAAATAGATTTAAATTTTGAGAGCCTAAATTCAAATTTTTTACTTAAAAATGTAACAAAACCTTTATTTAAAGATAAATTATGGTTTATAAATATAGCTTGAATTCCGGACCGCACATTCCTGGGATTGTTTCACAAGCAGGCTTATTTTTTTATGGATATCTCATAAAACTGGTTTTCCACCTCGCACAGCATTAATTTGTATCACAGAATAATTTCTTGCTATAATTTACTTAATTCAAAAAGATTAATTTTAGTAGAACTCTTACGAGCTCTAAGTAAATATTTTGCAACCAAAAAAGGTGATGCACCGTGACCCTCTTTCAAAGATGTTCTTTCTCTTTTCCGGCAAGACGTGTACGTAAACGTAATCCGCCCTCGCGCGACAAAATTGAATCACCGCGCCTCATTAGCGGGTGCATAAGAATTGAAACAAACTTTGCAGTGTGAGTGAGTCATCCATTCATCTCGGCCGTCTTTCTCCTCAACTGCTGTAGGAATTTCGTCCGACAATGAATTTTTTTATAACTCTCTCTCGCAAGCATTTCCGCGACCTGCCCGCGCGCGTCTCTCGCGTACCACACACACGTTTATTATTTTCATTTTCGCCGCACTCCAGAATAATTCGCGTCTCTTGGAATTAATTCTAGACCGCGGTAATTATTTTTAATTTTCCGTCTGTGCCAATTCTCGGTACGAATTGAATTATTATTTTTTTGCAGTTGAAATAATGATTGAGTATGTTTGCGTGGGTTTTTCTTGGAGTTGATGCAAATTAAACGGCGGTATTGTTATTAATTCTGGTTATCGCGAAAGGAAAACGTATTATTTCGTGGTTTTCTCCAGGGCGGGTGCAGCTACGGTTTTCTGAAAGCAACGAGGAAATGGGAGAGATTTCTTGTAGTCATTCAAAGAGATGGAGATCGCAGGAAGATCTTGTTGGCAGTGATATGGGCTCTGTTTCCGAAAGCATTTAATTAAAGTAAAAATGTAATCCTTCAATCCCGTCCAGCGCGAACAAGTAACTAGCATTTTCATGTCGAAAAGTGCTTACACTTTAGATTTTTTTGTGTTTTGAATAAAAATTAAATTTAAAAATTAATTAATTTTTGATATTTTTTAAAAAGTTAGACATTCAATTTTATTTCGGTTTAATTTACTTTAATTAATATTATTTTATTTAATGTTATTCTTTTAATAGTTTTGTATTTCAATGCTTTAAAATATTTTATAATTAACAATACAATATTCTAACATAAGATAGATTCTTTGTAAATTAATTTAGAAGTTTTCAAATTTAATAATTTAATATAATTTTCTAAAGTCAATTACGTAAAACCTGAATAATTATTGACATAAAATTATTGGAAATTTGTATTGCTGAAAATTTGTTTTTCGTCTCATTTTAGAAGTAGATTTCTGGTTGGTTTGATTTACAATAATTTGTACTTCAGTCAAGTAAAAAAATGGAATTGTTGAAATTGCTAGGGCAACAATTTTCATCATAATTATATTAAATAATAAAATTCTAAAATCAACTGAAAATTAATAGAACAGGACAAAATAAATAAATAAAATTATCAAAATTAGTGACAATAGATTAAAATTAATTTCTCAGAAGAAATTGAAGAAATAGTTTTCTATTGTCAAATGAGACATTAATCCATCCATCTTTTCAAATTATTATTATTCTCTCAATAATTATATGAAAAGGGGAACTTAAATTTTCAATCAAATTCCGTACCGATGAGAGTGATATGTTAATTCATTGTGAATGGTGCCAGTGAGGAATGCGATCTCTCAGCGTGAGAGAGGATGTAGGTGGGTCTGGTCGAGATCTGTATTTTTTTTTCATCACTTGATCCTGAGGAGCAAGGTGGAATGCTGCGGCCGTTGTTTGGCGCCGAAGGATCGTTTTTCCAAAGGTATTCCCGGTACGGAAGCTGCACATCGCGGCGACCTGTGCTTCTACATTCTCTCTCCATATCACCCACCACGCGCGGTTACTCATCAATGCTGAAAAGAACGAATGCAGCATCCAACGTGTGTGTGTAATTTTGGGTCAAGGCGGATCCGCGAATCGGACGCGCCGCGGCAGAGAACAAGAGAGGAGAACGTGAGAATTTCGCGACCGGAAATTGCAAAATATTTTGGAATTCGCGCGCGCGCCGCCGGCACCTGGACCTATGATTGAGCTGATCAATAATAGACTTGTTTTGAATCCTATGGGGAAAAATTTGCAACTAAAATTGAAAATAACCCTTGTTTTTTGTTAATTATACATAAGTTTAAAATTTTCGAATTCTCACGGGTTTTTTTTTTTTAATAATATTTTTATCCACTTGAATTATAATGGTTTTGTTTAAAAAAAAAATTTTATTAAAAAAAATTGTGTTTTTATTATTTTAAGTATTTAAATTTAACTTAGTAATTTTTTTATTGATTAATTATATATTTTATATTAATAATGTAAATATATAATTTTTATAGTTAAATAATTATTGGAATAGCAAGTTTGAATTTCTTTATTTTTAAATAATTTTTGCTTTTTATATTACAGTTTAAAATAATTAAATTTTTTAAATTATGCATTGGAAATGCTTTTACCCTTGCGACTTCAAGTTGTCTTTATCCATTTCCTGCCCCTTTACACAAATATGTATTAAATAAACTGAATTTATTGCTAAGAATAATGTATGATGAAGTAATATTTTTTTTAAGTTGGATCAACCAATTAAGATAATTATATAAGAAAGTATCAGACAAAAAGATCATAAAATAATAGTCTATGATGTATGTAATTAAAGCAGCTGCTTATCTTTTTTATCAGCGCTCAAATGTTGCTTGATAAAAAAGCTGTAAAGAATATTTATTTGATATTAAATTGAAAAATGTATAAATATGAACAAGTAAAAGAATTGCATTTAAAATTGAAGGTTTTATTAAAATTTATGGGTTGAATCTAAATTTTGATTAATTTACTTCCATACCTGGTGTGTTCAATTTGTTTCCTTTTTTATGATCGATGCAGTTTTTGGTTTTGTTATGATGTCAGTTTTCTCGCTCTTGTTATGGTGTGTCACACCAAGAGGGTTAAAATTACAAGGAATAAATTTTTCTTCCCCGCGTGCACAAGGGGTGAATCATTAGGTGACGATGGGATTATTGCAATCGATCAGTGCTGCACGGGCCATCTCATCATCACCGCCCTATTCAGCCCGTAAGTTACGTCACCGCACGCACTCGCGGTGAGAGCATAACAATAACAAACAAGATCAAAGGTTTCACGCAGCGTTTTTTTCGGCGGTCGTGAGACGGAAACCGCGGCTCGGAAACTCAATAGTGAATGCGAGAGTGACAAACGAACACGAGACAATGAGAAATTATAATTATTTTGTTTTAAATCATTATTTCTCTGCTTTTGTTCTCGAGTAATTTTGGCCACCAGAAAGTGTGCTAGACAATTAAAGATGAATCAGAAAAGCGAGGGATTATTTAGTCTATTAAACGGTTTGTGTTAAAAAAAAATTGAATGTGTGTGGGGGAATTTTAAAGGATTACACACTTGAAATGCTGTTATTTTGACATTTCTTTTAAAAAACATTTTACTTTTATTGTATTTCCCGGAACGCTGATGGAACTTCTTTTTCATTTGTAAGGATTTTCATTGCAGTATTTGGAAGAAAATTAGTGGAACCTGATTTCAAATATTTGAATAATTATATAAATTTTAAAAGGGTGATTATTTCTCTTAATTTTGTCATCCTTTTTAGGTGGTCACAAAAGTAGATTGACAATTTTATTTGTATGATGAATCGTCTTTTGCTAAATCGCAGAAGTACTATTCAATTCTTAATATAATTCAAGGTTAATTTCCGCAGATCCAATACAACTTGCTGAAGAGTTCCCTCGGAAATTTTTTCCTACGAAAAAAAATAACAAAAATTTAAACAGAAAATAGAATTCAATGCCCGAGTTCACCGTTTTGATAATTTCTGAGTCTTGACTGACAATGAGACTGTTCGAATTTCTAACTCAATCAACTGCTTAAGCCATGATTTCCTTAAATTTTCCTCTTTTTTTAGTTATACTTTTTCTCATTTCCTCATAAATTGCTTTTGATGTTTATTATACTAATTAAATTATTTATCACTTTTTATGTAGATATATGTTTTTTTTTTTTTAATTTTTGAAATTATTTCCATAAAGTTTTCATTACCTTTTCCCAACAGATAATTATACATTCATCGTCTCTTCAAAGCAACCGTGGGGCAAAAAGCATGTCTCGACCTATTTTTACCCCAGACGTGTGCTTAGGCGTTGTGTGCGGCGAAAAGTCCAAGCGCCCCCGCCGTCTCTTGCGCACCCAAACAGTCTCACTCCGTCATTCATTAATCCTCGTTGGCAATCATTGAAAATCCCCGCACGGTCGAGACATCATACTATCTTAGATAAAAAAGGCATACAAAAATAATCATTCGAAGATTAGTCAAAGACTGTATTTTTATAATTTTATTGTTGTTGTATTTCCATTTCACGCATGAAATACATAATTATGAATTTAATATTATTAAATATTTTTTAAGATTATGTTTCAATTGGCCAATTTTGGCTGACATTAGTTATGTATCAGCTTCAACATTGATGCGATATTAAGAGTTAAAAAAAAAACAAGAAAGTTGAAACATTTTATTTAATTAATATTTTCAGAGATGTCAATTGATATTAAAATTTGCAATTAAAAAAAAAGTAAACAGTATTTGGTTAAAAAATTACAATTCTGTATTTTGTAGAATTGAAATTCTATTCGTTGATAATAATCAAGCTTAGATTTTTTTAATTTAAATTTTAAAGAAATTAATAAGCAAAATAACGCTCTCAGCTGCACAAAATTTTAAAAATGAGGTGCAAAAAGCCAAATGGCATAGAGTCGCGCGCACAGAAGGATAAAAAAACTACACAGAGTCGCCGGCCGGTCGGGACAAAAAGGTGAATCAGCGTCTGCAGCCGCTAGTCCAACTGGAGAGGGGCGCACCAAGTCTCACTGCTATAGACTGAGGCACTCGCGTTCGCCGCGCACAGTCGGAACCAGCATGCTGATGGGGCTGGTGCTCGCGGTGGCTGCGCTGCTCGCGTGTCCCGCGGAGGCCGCGGCCCCCACGGAGGCCCGCGCCCGATCCCTCAAGGTACGCAACGCCCTTTGTCCGTACATGGTGCACAAAATCGACCGCAAGATGATCGGCCTGCGGAAGAAGCCCGTCCGCTGGCTGGACGTGCGCTGCCTCCGGCCGTCCGAACTCGTCCGGGTGGGCGACCTCGAGTTCAACTGCACGCAACTCACCTACGAGGCCAGGGTGGGCAAACGCAAGTTCAAGGTGGGCGCCGGTTGCGTGGCCAGACTGATATCCGTCGGTTTGCCGGCGCAAGAGGTGCGAGTGCCCTTCGAGAATTGACCCCGAACGCCTCTTCGGAAGAAGAGTTCGAGCTTCGTTTTCTCACCAAGGTATATCGTCCGAAGAAGAGCTGCTGGTCGGCCCTGCACGGATTGGACATGACCTGGAAACCGGTGGATTTATTTCGACTGGCGATTGCACGATTTTGGGTAATTTTTTATACTGTTTCGCCGTGTGTTGTACGCGCGGCGTTGAACTGCAGTGTATTTGTACATGACTGATGTTGAGAAGGCAGGTGATAAAAACAATGTGACACACTTGTTAACTTTGACGAATTGTTAGACTCACGGCAGGACGTCCACCTACCTCAATAATCGCAATAATATATAATACTTGTTCCAAATTGACATGTTAAAATAAATTAAAACTGTAGTTTGTTTGTTAAAAATTATAAATCTCATAAATAGAACAATGTACTACTGGCGGTTCCTCAAATAAGATATTTTTATTGCTTCCTATAATATTAGGAATTCAAGTAGCGCTGGAAGTGCTTGAAATGGTTAATGCATTTATTAAATGTCGATCAAACTTACTTGTTTTTGCAGCACGTTTGTATTATTTTCTGAAATGAGACCAAATGTGTACTCAAAGTTGTAGTTTTTAGTAATTTATTTATTTATGTATATTTGCCAACAAAAAAAGTGCCAAATAAAATATTTGCAATTTTTTCCAAAGAAAATACACTTTTTTTATTCAGTTTTAAATCCTATTTTAATATTACTATTTTTGGAAATATCAAACTAGAAATGTAATGCATCAACGGACTAGTCATGATCGGTGTGATTCATTATTTTGAACCATGTGGGCGCTCGCTCGGAAATACTGTTTCTTCCTGGGGCGGAAATAAAATGCACGCAGAGCAGCTTCGCTCTCCGCGGCGGCCAGGGGTGATTCATCGTGTGGCTCCTAACGTCCTATCTGATGGTGTTTTATTAATTTGAGCTGCACTCATCGGAGCCGCTCTCGAAAACCATAACGGGAGAAAAAAAAATTGGCGCCGCCGGAAGAGTTGACAAATTCCGAGGAAGGCGACGGCCCGTTCGCAGAATGCACTCTCGGAGAAGAAGAGAAGAAAGCAGCGCGACCCGCCGCACACTTTGGCCCGAGTTCAACAAAATATAAAAAGGATGCAGTCAGAGGGAATCACGCTGCTTCGGGAGAACCACCCATTAAAAACGGAGAACACATTTAAGGATTTTTTTCTCTCCACCTTTTCCTCGAATCGGAAGACGCATTCTAGTATTATATATTTTATGCAGCTGTAATTTTTGCTGCCGGTTTTGCGTGGGGTTACTCTAGTTGAGAGAATTACTCATTTCGCCGCAGATTTTGTTCTACCTGCCCGTTGCACCGAATGACGTTACCCGAGCGCGGAGAATTTATTCCGCTTTCAGGTCGACACCGGCGCGCAGGTGTGCAAATCACAGGTGGCGCGCGACATTGGCCAAGGTCGCGGTGGCGCCCACGCATTGCAAATTTAATACCTTAAAATTTTAAATTGAGAGATAATGGTTTTAATTATTTTATCTTTTTTTTTTAAATTTCGTTATTGCTATTAAAAATCAGTTGAAATTAAACTTACTTAAAATATAACTAAATCCTTCAAAAAAAAATTTATTTCATGACATAATTTCAAATAATCCTGGTTTTCTATAAAATAATTATTTTTTCTTTAATTTTTAATTTTATAAACAAATCAGTTGAAATTAAACTTATTGTTAGTGTAAATAACTAAATCCTTCAAAAAAATTTATATGATGTCATAATTTAAACTAACCCTGGTTTTCTATCAAATATTTCTTTTTTAATTTTTAATTATTAAATTTTACATATCACTGTTCCAATTAATTTCTGTAGTTAATTTAAAAAAAAAAAATTTTCTTGGAAATAATTATTTTTCTTTGCTTGGTCTGTCAATAATGGAAGAAAAATGCAGCAGTAACAATGAAATTGGATGATTTATTTTTTTATTCGTACATATTTACAGGGTCTGCTTAGATTAAATATATAGCAAAATTATCTCAATTATATTTACGTACATTATTCATCGGATTAATTAAAAAAAATCAAATTTTCAGCAGACTAATCTATGATGCAAACAAATCTAATTTTCCAAACTAAATAATGAGAGTGACATAGACTAAAAGCAGGATCGTTGAAAATCAATTTGCAGTACTTGCAATTTGAAAAAAACTGGCTGCTTTTGAAATCAAAGATTTTAAAATAGCACACAGCAAGGTAGTTTTACTAAAACATGATTTGGGTCACAGCAAGTCTTTGCCGATAAACAAAACTTGTTGGATTGAAACGGAAGGAAGTTTAGAAACCATAGGGCAAAATTCTTCCTATCCTTATCTAAAACCTGCGGCTTACTTTCCTTTTATAGAAAAATATAATGTTGGTAGAGAAAGAAAGGGAATTCCAGCGCTGCATTTGCGTCAATTGGGGTTTAAAGGAAAAGAGGGAAAATCTGACTATGTTTCTAACAGTAGCAATAAAAATCAATAGGTGCCACAAAACTGAAATTGATTTCAGTCCGCAATCAGTTTTGCCCTGAGGACTAGGTGTACATCTGCTCGGCCATGCTGGACATCTTTTTCGGGATGTGCACCAGGTTTTCAAAGTAACCAGCCAACTCGTTGATGCTCACTTCTTCTCGTCTGGCCTGTTGTGAGCAAGTCTGCTCTGGGGCAGGGGGCGGGCCGCCCCCGGAGGCGGCATCCCTCCGTCTGCTGAAGCTGGGACCCAGAAAAGTGTCCGGCGGGGAGGATGAGGGGCTGGGGGCAGCAAGGCCTTCGAAGGTGGGTTGAGAGGGGCCTGCTCGGAGGCGGTCCGGCCACCGGAGGCGGTCGACCGGTCGGAGGCGGCACGTGTCCAAGAGAACGGGGTCTAGTTTGAGGAAGCGGGGCCCTGTGTGAGGTTGGGGGCCACTTTCGGGGGTGGTGGGGTTTAGCTGGGGGCGGCGCAGGAGGCAGGTGAGGCGGCTGCGGCGGAGGAGAGGCCCTCGTTCCTGCGGCCGCCGGGTTATTCGACTGTTCCAACACTGACTGGAGGCGGAGGAGGCGGCGCCAGGCGAGCGTCTGGCTTTGTTGCACTGGCAGGAGGGGCGGCTGCAAGCCTCACCTGACAACCGGAGGCGGTCCAGCTGCTGACCACTGCTCTCGGCGGTGGAATCCGATGCTCGCTCTGCACTCCGACATCGCCTGGAAGGATTTAATTAAATTTTATCAATCACATAATTATACATTTATATTAATTGCTATTTATTTTTTATTGTTACAATGTTTAAAAAAAATATTTCAAAAAGTATTGTTGACATAATGGCACCATTACGAATTAAAATTGTGATAAAACTTTAAATAAGTAACCTTTTTAATCAAATTAATGAACATAAATAATTTAAAAAGACAGGCTTTTAATTTGTTTGACAAAATTAGCATAAAATTGTAAATTAAAAAGCTTTTGGAACCTTATTTTGCTCATTTATAAAGTAAGTAAAATTCACACTACATAATAGGTATTATTTTCTTTCAATTTGGTTCTGATTTTAAATAAATTGAAGTACATATGTACGTATTTAAATATAAAAAACCTTCATATATATGTTTAGTAACAAGAAAGTTTCTGAAAATAATGTTCACTATGTACTGCTTCATACAAAATAATGTCAGAAAATTCTAGAATTTTTTATTTAAGGTATGATACTTGTTTACAAACCTTTTGTTTACATCAATCTTCAGACGATCAAATTCCAATCCAAGCGGTGATTCCGCCATCTCAGAGGGTTAAAGCTGCAAAATAAATTCACAAATATGAGGCAAGACGTCAAAATGAGGAATTTGAAAATGCCCCAATAATAGGACCCCCTTGATATTATTTCGGCAACAATATGAAGGGATTTTTATTAAATTTTTATCAATTTTAATGTGAAAATGGCGCGCAATCCATGATTAAATTGGAATTTTCCTGATTAGGGTCTGGTCCGGTGCGCTTGGAGGCTACACGCGGAAATGTCCAAGGCAAACCTGAGGACAAGGTCTTCCGATTTACGGGATGTTCGAGACCAAACACAAAATAGCAGCAGACTGCGCGCGACATTGTTTGTTTACAATCAAAAAAAGCGATCGGAGGCCAATTTTCGGTTGGCGAAACAAGTTTGCCAATTGTAAGGTGCCAAATGCACTTCGTAGGGCCGAATTTGGCGAACGTACCTGCCTGCAAATTGGTGAATTTCTCTGACATTAGAACGCACTTTCCATCACTTCGGTAAAGTCGTCCATGTTGTGACGTCATTCGGCCAGAATTCGTGACGTCACTCAAAACTACAAAGGCGCATGCGTGGTGGAGCCGACCAATCAGAGTGCACTAATCGCTTGTGTGTTGTTTTGGTGTCTCGCATTTTGAACTTGAAGTTTGAAAAGCCCAAAACTGACAAAATTCAGGAAAAACCGGGCAAGTCCCGCAAATTTGATCAGGGAGCTGGAGTGGAAAACGACTAATTAAGTGAGGAAACATTTTTTTTACTGATCTCAGTTTAAGAAAACCTTGTAAAAAACCACACAAAAAACACAGAACACAAAACTGATGTGTAAATTGTGTCCTCAAATGGCTCAAAATACAACTTGTTGTGTTGATCTGTTTTTTCTCTTGATACATAGTTCAAAGTTCAAATAATTTTCTGCAGGAGGCTGATAATTACAAGTGGTTTTTGCACATCAGGATGGCATCCTCATCTTACCATCCTCTAACTAATTTGGTATGTAATTAATAATTCACATCCAAGTCTTATTGTTAGTCTATTTAATTATTTTTTTTTATTGCAGCTGCTGTTAGACACCTCAGATGACAAGAAGAAAAAGTATCAGCATGCTGTGCTAAGCTTGGATAGATGCGCCCAATCTCTGTCTAGCACTGGGATTTCGAAAAATTTGGAGATTGCAATAAGGAATGCCTCCGTCGAGAATGCAGAGCTTTGTAAGGATTTGGTTGGGAAGAGAATATTTCTCTCCTGCCTTGAGAAAAGTGCTTTGGAACTGAAAGAATCAGCAGATCCAATTATTCATCACGATGCAAAAGTAAAATTCAATCAAATTCTCTTTAATATATTTTTGCACTAATGAGACTTTTTAGAATTTATATGCGTATCTTTTGACATCTAATGATTCAAGCCAAAGACTCATGCAACTGATGGGAGTACAAATTCCAAAGCCTGATTTGAATCCACGTACTGTTCACATACTGCAGCTTTTGATGGGAGAAAAGATAAAGGAAATGATGAACTTGTACACAATATATAAGTAAATTTTTAATTCTTTTTGGCTACTTTTCTGATGATTATTTTTTAATCCACAGCCCTACCAGAATGACAACGTTGCAAATCGATGTCAGGAACAAAGTGTTAAAAATATTTGATTTATTAAATCACTGCAGCAAAGTTTTGGACAAGAATACCAACAAGGCAATGTCAAATGAGAAGAAAAAACTGGCCATTCTTCATGACAAGACCAGAGTTTTGATGAAACAGCACCAACTGCAGTATTTCACATTGAAGTTCGTACCTAAATTAAATACGATCCACCAAAATAATAATTATCCGATTTAGAAAACACCAGATTGAGATTTGTCAAAAGATGCTTGGCCCTCAAGGTCCTGAAAACATGCAGATGATCCTGGCAAAATTAAAGCACGAGCACGAGGAAAAGGTCAAGAGTAATGAAGAGAAGAAGAAAAGACTGGAACTATTTGAGGGTCTCGGGGCCGAGTACAAGATTTTGGCCGAGAAATACGCCGAGTTGGAAAAGAAGATCAAGTACACTAAAATGTCGCTCAACCAAATGGAGTCAATGTTCAAGTAACTTCGTGATAAGTTTTTAGCAACTAAAACAAAGTAATCTCATAATTTGCATTTTAAATTATTGTTTCTATATTTAAAAATAAAAATTGTACATGAAATCTTGTAAAGCATTTAATCAAAGTGATCGAGGTAGTTTTTAGTTGTAATTTAGCAACCATCCCTATTTACTTTGCTTCCTTTTTGCCAAACCATTTAGAAAGAGTGGCTTGCTTCTTTGACGGGCTGTCCTTCAAAGGGCTGCTAGCTCTTTTTACTGACGTCTTGTGACTTCCAGGCTCAGGAGGTTCAACAAGTTTGGCTGGGTCATGCTTGTCCCATTCGGTCAAGAACTCTGGTACAAGCATTGAGGTTCTGCAAATTAATTTTGTCATTAACGTAAAAATATGTGAAAATTGTATCTTCATACCCGACTCTGATAGGTTTCAAAGGATGATCTGGTTTTGCGGAGTAAAAATCCTTTTTGACAGGATACCAGTTGATAACCTGCGGCTCCACAAACATTTTCTCAGCTTCTTCTGCATCCACTCTGTCAAAGTCTATCCAGTTCTAAAATAATTTGTGATTTATTTTGTTCATTTTAAATTAAGATATGATCATACATTTAATTTCTCAGGAGTATCTAGTACGACAGGCATTCTGTTGTGACACCAAGAAACCCATTTACCAGCATTCATGGTTATGATGGTGACATTTGGCACTTTTTCCCCTTTGGCGTTGACCCAATGGTGGTAGATCCCAGCCAGTGGGGTCACTCGAGGTCCGTGATAATCTTTGCCCTCTTCGTCTTTGCATGGCTCATCAACAAGGACTCCATGCTCCTGCGGAAGATGAAAGAAGAAGGGCTGCTTTTTACCATCGATGGTTTTCCACTCGTAGAATCCAGTGCAGAGGACGGCACATCTCTTTCCAGTCTTGAAGGCATGTCTGAACAAGGGAGACTTCAGGACTCCTTCGCAGCGCGCGTTGAAAGTGGATAAGCCATGATCGGTTGCCGTTCCCTAAAAATAATTTAAATTTTTGCAATTGTTTTAATTAAATATGTTTTTGTACATACTTTATGGCCAATGGGAATGAAACCCCACAGCATCGGGGTAATGACGACCTGCCCATCTTGTTTCAAAAGACACGGGACAGTCTGGGTGGGTGACAAGTTGTGGTTAATTTTATATTCAAGACTCTCAACTTCCGAGTCAACCCACTCAGGCTCCTCATCTTCAGAGGTTAATTCTTTCTCATCATCAGCAACAGGTTCTGTCTTTATTTTGTCCTGGTGTTTATTGGGCGACTGTTTGTGATCTACGACGTCCTGATGAGGCTCTTCTTTACAGGTTTTCTTCTTGTGGCACTTTTGCCTGGCGAGGGCGCAGGACCTTCGCAGTCCTTGCTTGTTCAGTGTGCTGAAAAATCAGGATAAAAGACAATAATTCATGCGGACATTACAGAAATTTCAGAAAGATACCATGCCAAACGTCCACACATCGCAGGAAGAGGTGAAACAGTTTATGTTTATTTCCACTTATGTATGCTGCAGTGAAAAAATTAAAATTTAAGAAAAAAACAAAAAGCACAGGCACTTTTTTCCCCACTTTTCCTCCCGCGTTTTCAGAATGGGGTGTGGTATGTCAGCACAGGTATGCGGAATACTTTTTACGTAACTTTGTTAGATTTCAAACTATTTGTAATACTTTTCTTAAATTAAAAGATTTTCTATCAATTTTAAAGTACTTGTGGCATTTTAAATTGCAAAATTTGCAAAATTGTCAAAAGTACTTCGCATATTCTTTCGTCCTCTTTTAGATCCCATCCTCACCCCTGTGCCACGATTGTCTTGCGGTGGTGGGGTGGCGCAGTGGCTGCACAGGCCATCAGCCAATCAGGATCGCCTATTGTTGAACCAACATGGCAGATTTTGACAGTCTGATCGCAGTGAACTCAATTTAATTTCGCTGATTAAGACGCTGAAAACTGACTGATCGCGGCTCGAATTCGCTTTAGCTAATTCTCTTGCGAATAAACAGCGTCCGGACTTTGATTGGAGCCGCTGAAAACGCGAATCTGTCGCTGGCCAAGCGCACGACGACGGTTCGAAATTTGCGACTGACGTTCTTGGACTGCGCGAGACTGCAATCTTCTAAAATTCAAATTAATCTAACGGTGAGTGCACCACGTAATTAGCACGGGAACCAAGTTTGCGGAGATTTTTCTCGAACTCGGTGCTGCACTTCGACTGAAATTTTCAGTTTTCGCAGAAGGGAATTCGCGTGAAGGGTGGCGCAAATTTCATTGAGGAAGTCCTTTCGAGTGAATCACTTCGGCTCACAATCTATGTGGCGTAATAAAATCTTTCACTTTCATCCCATAAACGAACGCCACTTGACACTTCGCTCGAGTTACCCTCATTTGATAAAAAAGCAATTTCCACTCATATCGCACTGCTGCTTAATTTAAAGGTTTTTTTTACCACGTCCATTTATTTAAATCCCAATCGAGAATGACCTTCGTGCAAAAAAAAATCGAACAAGGATTATTTTTTTAGGAGAGGAAGTGGAATGCGAAATTAAGACACCTGTCACCACATTCGATTTCGCTGCTGCTGGTGACTTATTTTTTTGCCTCACTTCTGCTGAAAAAAAGTATTCCATTTCCTTTTTATCGCGCACAAAACACTCTAAAATTAGAAAGGCAAATTGAAGGTGTCGGATGGTAAATTAAACACACTCTGCTTTGCGTAATTCGCAGCTTTCTCTACTGCCAAAAATGTCGGTGCTGAATCAGTGCGGTGATGAGCCTGCCGAGTGTCCTCTCTGCATGGAGCACTTGGAAGTGGATGACCTCAACTTTTTCCCTTGCACCTGTGGATATCAGGTAAAAAATTGAATAAAAATTAAATTATAATTTTTGTGAACGAAACTCTAATTTTTTAGTAAAATTCAATTTCCAACAAAAACTTATAATTTGATCAATTTTTTATTATTTTAGATTTGCCGTTTTTGTTGGCATCGCATCAGGACCGATGAGAACGGACTGTGCCCTGCCTGCCGAAAGGCCTACCCTGAGAACCCTGCTGACTTCCGGCCACTCTCCACTGCCGAGATCCAGAAGATCAAGGTGGAGAAGCGGCAGAAGGACCAGCAGCGCAAGCAGAAAGTGACTGAGTCTCGACAGCACCTGGCTTCCGTAAGGGTCGTCCAGCGGAACTTGGTCTTTGTGGTGGGCCTGCCGCCCAGACTTGCCGATGGGGACATTTTAAAGAAGCATGAATATTTCGGCAAATTCGGCAAGATCCTAAAAGTGGTCATCAACCCTTGCAATTCTTATGCTGGTGTACAGGTGACGTTTTTAAAAAGAAAAAACTAATAAATTAACAAGGTTTAATTTTCAGGGTCCAAGTGCAAGTGCGTACGTGACTTATGTGAAGAGAGAAGATTCTTTAAGGGCTATAGCTGCAGTGAATAACATTTCAGTTGATGGGAGGCTTTTGAAGGCCTCTTTAGGAACAACAAAATACTGTTCCAACTTTTTGAAAAACCAGGCTTGTCCGAAGCCAGAATGCATGTACCTTCATGAATTAGGTATTTTAATTAATTTTTTTATTAAATTTCATATAATTTACACTTAAAACGCATAATATTTTCATTTTGTTGCAATGACGTCTTGTTTGGAATCAAAATCACTATTTGAGATTTTTGCGTAAACTTTTTAAATTGTCATACTCTGCAACTTCCTACTGTCATGCCATTTCCACAATATCCTGTTTGGTTGGAATATGATGACATCCTCTGCGCTGCAGCGCTGCTTTTCAATTTCTGTTTACCCGTGTAATCTATAGAATTATTATCACTGTTCCCTAGGAGATGCTGAAGCCAGTTTCACTAAGGATGATATGCAACAAGGCAAACATCAAGAGTATGAAAGAAAACTACATGAACAATTGCAAAACCAAACAAAAGAGCCGTGAGTTTAAATTTCACATCACAAAAATACAAAATTGCTGAGTTGTTAATTCCTGTAGCATATCCAATGATAATCACACGCCTTCTATACACAATTTGGACGTGAACATTAGCAGCAACAACAACAATAACAAGGACACTTGGCCATTACTACAAGATGATCAGGAACGCTCTTCCTCCAGTTCTAGCTCACCTGCACCTCCCTCGGAAACACCAAAGTTGGATGAAATTACGGATAATTTTAATGGGCAAAGGAAAAAGGATGAGTATGTGATTTTTTTTTAATTATAACAAAATTTTTAACTCATCGGAGTATTATAAATTGTTAATTGTTTTATATTTCAGTCGGAAAATTCGAGATAGTTACAGTCAAAGCAAAGAGTTGTCTCCAGTACATCAACAAGCACCGTCACCGTCTTCTTCAACTTCTTCTCTTTCTGGTGGGCCGACATCTTCGACTATGCAACAATCTCAATCTCTATCATCCAGTTCAAGTTCTATTTCTGAAGATGTATTACAATCAAATGCCTCAGAAACACAAGGTAGATTTATCATGCTGTTATTACTCCAAATGTTATCGGATTGTGACAAACAGTTGCCTTGGAAGAAATTCAAAATCAAGCAGGAAATTCGTACTTCTCTTCAAGCCAGTTTGATTTCAATAGCCAGCATAAAAAAGGCATTCAGAAAGAGGCGCAGGGAGGAATGATGCAAGAAAATCTGATGCCCTTGTTAAACTCCTTTGACTGGCAGTCCGCATTTGGATTCGGCAAGAAGCCTGAAGAAAACACCAACAATAAAGGTTTTTAAATTTCTAAATAATTGTCTGTGATAATTCAATTTTCATATTTAGTTCAAGCAACATCTAAAGATATAGAGGATGATCTTGGATTTGATCCTTTTGCTGAAACGCAAAAAGCTCTCGAAGAGTTGATCAAAACAGAAAAGCAACAGCAGGTTTTACAGCAGCAGAGGTCTGCACCCCCACAGATGAACCCGCACTACAGACCCCATCCGACAATAGACATGCACAGGACCACGGCACCACCTCCTGGATTCGCAAACCAACCAATGCGACACAATTTTCAGACACACTTTAACGAAGGCCGGGCGATGAACAGCTCTCACTTCCAAGCACAGGAAAGCAAAATTCTTCCCATCATGAATTTGGCGCAGCATCCGAGTGTGAGCAAAGATGACAATTCTTTTAATATGGCCCACTGGAGACACATTTTACCAAACATTGGCTCTGCATCTCCTAATTATTCAAATGGATTGGCACATAGGCAAATGCAAGCACAACAGCAAAGAGGTACGCAAAAGAAAAAGAAAATTATTAGATTGACCTGTGCCATTTTTGATCTTGCAAGCAAGCTCCCATCTTTTAATTGTGTTTTTTTTTTTTTAATTTAATTTGGTCATACTTGATAACGCAAGGATCAGTTTATGAGCTGGTATATCTTACCATTATTTCAAGAAAACAATAATCCATCTCAAGATAATATTTTGCACTGTCATAAATTAATTTATTGCTTGAGTAGGCCTTTATTTCTTTTGGTGAGTATTGACCTCATTCTTAATTTTTTTCCTCTTCAAAATAGCTATAATTATGTGATATATATTTCTTTAATTGACTTGTTTTTTATTTGTTTTTAGACTGGCAGAACGATTGGACGGCTATGGACCCTGCTATTGTTGCTGCGAGCGCCAGTAACAGAATAATGGTTGACAACAGCTGGAACAAACAGGTGGACCAGAATAGTTATTATCAGCATTCTAACAATTCTTTAGGTAAATATTTGCATATTTATTTCACTAGTGCGTCTTTATTTATGAATTTTACTCAGGCTGGTCTGGAGTGGTGCCAAATTTAGCAGCGACCACAGCTCCTCCTCCTGGATTTTCTCATCCATTCAGAATGGCCACAAGAAGCAACCAGCCGCCTGCAATGGACTCTGAGCTCAAATCCTTGTTACACCAGCTGCATTGATCGGATCACTTAAGAAATTATTTCTTAAAATATTAAATCAACGAAATTTAGCAGACTCGATTTGAGTTTGCCGCTGGTGGTCAAAGTATCTCTTTTTTTTCTATTGGCAGCGTCTGTTGCACAAGCACACATAAAATCAGTGCTGCTGTTAATTTTTTTAAATTTATATTAAACAAAATGTGATTTGCTTTTAATGAGCCAGCTTAGTTCTTTGTGAACTTGAAGCTCATAATTAAATTCGAGATGAGAGAAGTGCAGTTGGACAGAATCAAGTGCAATCTCTAGCAGATTAACAAGTCATTAGGCAAAAGTTGTGGCTAATAAATTTGCAAGTTAATGCATTTTGCTCTCTTTAAAACTGAATCTGCTGATCTCTCGACAAGTGATACCAAAAAAAAAACTGTTTATTTAACCAGAGGGTTTTTTATTTCTAATTTGAAGAGATACTTTTACACCTAATATGTCAAATGATGTCCCTAATTGGTCAAATTTTTAACTCTTTGTCAAATAAGTGGTAACTTTTCCACTTTTTTCCTTTTTTTCTGAGTTCCGAATCACACCAGTTAATCATCACAAATATTGTTAAAAATTTTAGATGGATTCCTGTTAGTCGAGTTGTACCTCCATTGTTCATCGATTACATGCGCAAGAGCCAGAAGAGAAATCTGCTCTCATTTATTCTTCGAAAGAGTCACTTCGTTTTGGGTTTACTTTTCTCTTTTGTTCTTTTGTTTAAAATAATCACAGATCGCCCTTTTCAAAATTCTTTAGTTGTAAAAATCGAAATTGCTCAAGTGCATAAAATCAATTGGCTCCTTTTTGAAATCAAGGGTAATCAAATAATTTTGTTTCGCTCCCAAGAATTGTTATACATGTTAGCGAGACCAAATGCGCGACTGATGATCACAAATGAAATCATTGAGAGAACTTTATGAAGGATGTCAATTTAATTAATTGCGATATTATAATTAACCGATCAATCACTTAAAGGCCCTGTTTCTCTTCTCCAGATGAGTTCTGTCGTATTTTACGCAAATACAAATCGCGGGCTCGGAGTTTGATCAAGCGCGCCGCACCACTGCTGCAGGGTCGATGGAGATCCATCCCCGAGGGTGGCGCGGTGCCGCATAATTATAAACACACACACATTATTTATTATTTCAATAAATATTATACTACTGTAATTAACCACGTAAATTTCATTTCATCAAATCTGTTCTATGTGTATGACAACAAAAGCGGATTCTCCCACTCAGCCGATTTGATTAAAAGCAAACAGAGTCAAAAATCATGACGCGGCGCGGCCCAGTTTGGCCTGGCCACGCAAATTAAAAAGGGGTGAATCGCGTGACCGCAGCCGCACCCCTGCCTCACTGGTCAGCCGAGAAAACTTTCTTGGTCTCGATTTGTTATTCCGTCTTGAGGAGGTCGGCACTGCGGTCGCTCATTCACTCGATCATCAGCCAGCAGCAATGGGTTGTGCCAGCTCTACGATGGCCCCAGGCTCAGTCCTAGAGCCCAATTCAGCGCCAGGGTCGGCGCCACACTTCATGTCCAGGGTGCACCCTCTCAAAGGGATGGAGAATGCCGACGACCTGAGCACTCATATTTTGCCATTGACGCCGCCATCAGGTATACACATTAATTACTAATATTTAAATATTTTTTTCTTTTTACAATCTAGAAGAAATATTTTAACAATTATAATTGAATGGAAAAATAATAGTATTTCCAGGAGGAAAATTTTTACAAAACTATGCCACATTTGAAAATTTTTAGGATAAGAATGAAAATAATTTCAATTTTTATTCGAATATTTTTTAATATCGTCACTAAAAGAGTTAAATAATAACTTTCAATTGAAAAAATTTATTGAACGTAAAACTTTTTAACAAATAACGATATTTAATCTTTGTGGAAAAGAAAAATTAATCAATTAAAAGCAGCACTTAACGCTAATTAAAGAATTTTTCTCTTTCAAAAATTTCTAAAACAGTTTAATCACTAGTGTAGGGTGCGTTTTAAGTGCACAAAATTGCTAATTAAGGCGGCTATATGGGCGAAAATAATTGACTTTCAAATTACGGTGCGCACACCGTCACGGCTTTTGTGAAAAAAATTAATGGAAATTTGTGCGAGCCCTCCGGTAATTAGGTTCTTTATCACCTGATGGCATCTCTCACCTGTGTTCCATGTTCTATGCATAATAAGTGGCGAGGTCTTTTCTTTAGCGCGTGTAATCATTTTCAACTCGCGCACGCCGATGGCTAATTTCAGTTTTCTTTGAGCTATATTTGCCCATTAATTATAATACATAATTCGCGGCCCTGATTTCTGCTAGTCATTTGCGACAAAGAGAACATTCTTTGTAAACTGCTTAAGGGCTATTGAGGAGGGACAGAATAATAAAATGAAGAACTTCTAGCAAGTAATAATAATCATGCACTTCTTCATTTTATAGAAAAAATGAGTTTTACAAATAAAATGGCTATTTTTTCTATATAGACAAATTTTTCTATTAATTTGTATTTGTCAAGCGCCAAAATTAAATTATGCTTTTACTTTAATAATATAACGCTTAAACTCTCAATAATCACGTTCTTGCAATTTAAATTTTAATAAAAATATTTTAATCTCATGAAACTTATGCTTGGCGTTGATTAATTTTTGTTAAAATCTCAAATCTGTCTACGTGAATAATATGCGTTTGCCAATGGCCTTTTTCCATCTCTCAACTTGTAGCCCGGAAAAGCGCAGGGAAATCACGAAACCGCCTACGTAAATCTATAAAATGATAATGGGTCGTCTCTCGAAATAGCCTCTCTCATCACCACAAAGCGCACCGCGCTGTTTGGTCCCAAAATAGAATCATAATATATAAATCCAACGGTCAGGCCAAGTCATGGTTTCATTTGAATGCCTTTTCGAGAAAAGAAAGATGTGTGCGGGCGATTGCTTTCAGCGTCACGTGAGACGCAGATAACGACGACGATAATGAGCGAAATCAAATTACAAAGCTGAGACCGTAAATCACGGCTGTTGCAAGGAACGACTGCTTCTTCCCTCCCGCTCAATCGACTCAACTCAATTATTCAAATTTCCTTTGTTCTCTCAACGCGTTCACCCATGAACATGACGCAGGTCGCTGCAACCCGCCAAGTTCACTCATAAGCTTCTATAGAGCGAGACGGAAAAAAATTAATATAATGAAACATTCGACAAGTGCAGATTTGCATAACATGATTTTGAGAGTCTATTTATTGGATATCACATTAAATGAGAAGGTCAAAAGCAAAAGGTTGGTTTAGTTTTTTTTAACAGTTTTATGGATTTAAGATAATTATTTGAAATTGAAAGCTAAGACTTTAAAAGGTGGATTACACATGGAAAAACGAACCCAAAATGCATGATATGAAAAATTAAAAAAAATAAAAGGGTATCTTATAACGTTTTTAATTTCTATTTTGCAACCAAGCAGGAAGCCCAGTTTAAATTTTTAAAATAATTTAATTCTTTTTTTATAATGTGAAGCATTATGTTCATCTGTTAGTTCTTTTTGAAACCGGGTATAAGAGCTAAAATATTGTCTATATATTATCACAAGATCTTATCATTCAGAAGAAAAACGTTTTTGAAAATATTAGTACTCTCAATCAGTATATCAGGCTCAGCGCTCTATTTGAAAATAAAAGCAAGATCTCGTGTACAAATTTCTCCTATCCGATAAACACGAGAAACCAAAATGGTTCTCCCTTTTCTCTCAAGTATTGTGACTACCAACAATAAAATTTATTACTTTTTCTGTGCGGTGCTGCTAAAAAAAATCCATCGCGTGTGTAATTTAATTATTTAAGTTACATACTTCTTTTTACTCAAATTAATCCATCTAAAATAAATGATAAAAATATAAAAAATTATTAATCACATTGGTTCAGATATAAAATTGATTATTTATTACGACTTGACCGGCTGCAACATCGATCTTGACTTAAATCAAAGCGTGAACTTCTGTAAAAATGAGACAAGTCAGTAAAATATCAAGCACAAACTTTACGGATCAAGGCCGCGTGCATAAAAAGTAGTCCAAACTCTCAAGCAGGGGTGCATCCTAATCAGCGCCAAGAAGTAAATCAAGGGTGGCGCGCCCCAGAAAGTATACACCAGACTAAGAAGTGTGTCACCAAAATTGTTGAATAAACGATTTCAAGTGCGACACAATAATCGTGAGAGGAGCAATTTATTTCCCCCGCGTCAAGAATCTTCTCAATGAATCAAAAAGACTCTCTTTGTTAGAAATTTAGGTTACTCCGATCGGACACAGATGGTCAGCCGAGATAAAATTCAATAAATCCGCACGTGAAAATCGATGGATCAGATCGCGTGCGGGGGCGCGAAAATGAAATCTAGGCAGGGTGTTACTAGAATGTTTACTTCGCGTGGTTACGAGTCTCGTATTGACTCACTGGGATATAAAATGTATAAAAAAAATTAGCGATAGAAGTTATAGAAAGCAGTGCATGCTGGGGTCAGACGTGTGGTGGGAAAACTGTTTCATGCCTGGCTGCAATCGAGCCGATGTTCTCGAACGGCAATTAAGCTGCACGCTTTAAGTGCTACTTGTTCAATGTATTAAAACCACATACCTGTAAATAAGCAGACGAAGACTGAAATAAATTATAGAAAGTGATTAGCAGTGCAGATTTTTAATTTTAAGAACAGATAGTCTCACAAATATGTTATGAATTAAATTAAGAGAAAAAACAATTTTGAATGAACTATAAACTTCATATATATTAAAATTGAAAAATCGCTGGTAACCCAAACAAATTGATTGAATTTTTCAAAATCAACGATTGATTTTTATGGTGACTAGAATAAATACAAATTTTTAATTTTCTATAAAATTCGTAAAATTCGACTGATTATGAAATTTCCATTTTTTGATGATCGTTAACTTTGAAAATCTATTTTTTGACACCATTTTTATGAAATTAAAGTGGAGAAATTTTATTATTTGATTATTATTGAAGTGCATATATGTTTTTTTTTCTTTGCAATTTTACTCAATCTATAAATTGAACAACCCCTTTACAATTGAAAGCTATGCAACCTGTTCTTCAAGCACGTTGGCACGGTTGCATAATTAGTCGCTCACATTAGTAAATCTTTGACAATTTTCCAGATGGAGGAGACACAGAAAATCTGGACAGTGGTTACCACGGTGCAAAACGGATGAGCCAAATGAGCAACGACTCGATCGAGTCGATGATGATGCACATCATAGAAAAAGAACGAGACGCCGTTTTGTCCGAGATCGAGTCCATGTGTCCGCCCGAAAACAACAACAACAACGAGTTGGAAAATCCTCCGAAGAAAAGCTACGACGAGAAGTTTTACGCGGAGAGTGCGGAGCACGAGGATCTGAAAGCGATGGAGCCGATCATGGAGACGCAGGAGGAAGAGAAAACGGAGAATTCGGAAGCGGCTAATGATGAGGCGAAAGACGAGGAGCGTCTTAATGAGACTGCAGAAGCAGAAGCGGCGACAGGTGAGCTAATTAATTGGAATTTCAAAATCGCGTGTGCTGAGAATGCTTTTTGTTTGCTCGCAGTCGAGCAGAGTGACGAGCGAAATGAGGAAACCGAGTCGACAGCAGGCGAGAATGTCGGAAAGGCGCGCCAGGAAAAGATGGAACAGGTATACATATGTGTTATACGTTCATGTGCAAATAATATGGGGAGAATTTCATAAGGAGAGAGCAAAATGCTTTCCGCTAAATATTCGTTTGCGCGACAAACATCTATTAACAGAGCAAACACCAAAACTCCATGACATTAATTTTCCAGAGAGAAATTTGTGGATCTTTCAATTTGATCAGTTTTGATGGCGAAACCAATCTATAATTCAAAGTTATGGAAACTCTAAAATAATTATTTATTAATATTTAACATCAAGTTTTCCTGAATTTATTTCAATAAAAAAATTTAAAAAATTCATAAATAATATTTTCTCACTTGCCTTCAAAATTAAAACGGAATCTGCGGCTGTTTATCTCCACTTGGGCACTGAGTCTGTAGAACTCAAAATCCCTGAACCTCCTTTTTATATGGCGCATAATAAAAGGGCAAAGTGAGTTTTTTTTAAAGTCAACCAAGGCTTCCTTTGGCAAAGGAATTCTTTTTGATACGACTGATTCAGAGAAATTCGCTAGTGCGGGGTGCCGTTTTATCCAACGATTTCTTTTTAGAAAATAAAAAAAGTTTTTGCCAAAAATTATTTCAATTTACTTTTTTTTTTAAAATAGGGGATAAATTGTTGATTTTATCTGTATCTAAATGTACTGCTTTCATTGCCAGTTGAAAGTAAAAATTTTTATTAAAGGCAATTTTGTCAACTTTGAGAAATTCTAGAAATTCATTATGTCAATTTAGTGTCATATTTTGGGTTTCACTAGCAAATTTTTACAGATAGGTTTTCTATTATTAATAACAATAATTAATATAATTGCAGCAATTGGAACAATAAAACAATAGTGAAGAATGAAATTTATCAAATAGACACAATTCATAAAGATATTCGGCACAGACCAAGAATCCCATTCAAATAATGGAAACTAATTTTCTTTTGCAGTCACCACCAACAGTCGTGGTGAACAAAGCCGAAGGAGAAGAAAACGGAGGATCGCTGGAGGCGGCCCAGAACGACGAAGATGGAAGTTCCGAGCTTCTCTTTGACTTGAGTGCCGAGGACGTGGAGATGCTGGAGGCCCAGTTGCGAGAACTCTCCGTCCTCAGTCCGGATCCTGCGGTGGCGGAAAACGCGTTGGACGCAGCCACCGCAAACAGCCAGCCGGAGGGGCCGACGGCGCAAAGTGCAAAAGAGGAAACTCGGGCCGAGGCGTAGTGAGAATAGGGGAATAAACGAAAAATCCATTATATATGCGAGAAAGGGTGAAATAAGATTTTGTGTCACTGGGGTGTAAATAAAAGAGGAGATGGAGGGTTGAAAATAAGTGAGCAGGGTTAATTTCAGGGAGCAAAACTTAAATATTTGTCAAGAAAGTTTTCTTTAAATTAATAGTCTCAAAAATATTGTAATAACAATTGAAAATTTCCTAAAAAACTGAATCTGGGCTTAATCTTTCTGAAAAAATTAAAAAAGTAACTGTTGTTTTTCATATTTAAGGCCCACCGGTTTCAATTTTAAAATTTTTAATTAATTTCAACTTTTAGAAAAACAATCGATAATTGCTCACAAATGCTGCTTTTGTTAGTAGGGACCAAATATATTGAAAGTTATAAGAAAATTTATAGACAGATTTTATACGCAGGTATATTTTATGGATCTCTGGTAAGACTAAATGTGCAAAAATGCCAATAAAATGTATTTATTGATGTAATAAATTAGAATTATTATTTATTCCTCTATTCATTGAAGGGTGTGCTCAAAACGAAATGATTAATTTTGATGGTGATTTTCATTCATAAGAAATAGTTTTCAGTGAAAATTTTGTATTTTGCAAAGACTCATTTGATAATGATATTGGATACATTTTTTTTACAATATCACATCACTTCCCTTTATTTTGTTTTATTACTTGTTTTTTTATCAGCTCTTGACCGAAATTGATCCTCTAGATATAATTAAAAGTCATTCAATTAATTCATATTTTAAGATTGCTTACTAAATTTTTTGAGAAATGTTCCTCGATCCACATCAGGTAACAAACGATTAATGAAGAAAGGTCATTTTTATAGAGCAGAAAAAGGAAAAACGTGGCCTTTATATAGGAGGAAATAGAAAATATTAAATCATCAAATATATTTTTTTTTTTTATTCAGAAATAAATTATTTATTTGTGTAAAGACTGTAATCACTATACTGCTGGCGGTGTGTTTGTTGGTAAACAAAGAAAACTCCAGATCAAGCAGAGCCACACAGCAGGCACGTGCTCTCATTTCCCATTATTAAACCTGTCCGACTGCTCTATCCATATAATAACTTGCATTGGGAAACACACATAATTCACGGATGCTTTGAATACAAAGAGAGCGTGTGTGTCTGTTTACCGTGTTGCTCACCATAAGCGGCTGGACCTGACTTTTATGCATACGTGCACAGGTACCTACCTCACCGAACCGTCAAACAAGAAGGTACGACGTGATGTACCTCACTCGCCACGCTCAATAAAGCCAGGTGCTCGCGACCACTTCGCTTTACTCGTCCCGCAAACCACATCAAACGCGCACACACATACGCCGACAAACCTACCCTTCCATAAAAAAAAACACACGTGAGCAGCAGCACCCCAACAATGTCAACGATTTCGATCTTTAAGAACCTGCACATTGTAAGTTTGCTTTAATTATAATTTTGTTTTTAAAGAAGTGAATTAAAATATTGTTTAAAAATTATCAGGTTATATAAGTTTTTGATTCTGATTTTGAGTCAAGAGAACAACAATTGAACAAATTACGGATGATGCAAAAAATATTTCAAAACTGTGTATTAAAAATATAAGTTCAATCAAAAACTATAAAAATTCTGATATTTTTTTCTAATTACTATAATTACATAATAATTTTTAGAATCTGATTTTAACTGAGAAACAATCATGTGAATTGAGTAGCAAATAATTATAAATTAAAAAAAAAAAAATTGGCAGAGTTGACTTAAAAAAATTACAAAAATTGAAATGACATAACAACATTTAACAATGATGTCAATTTTTGTAAGATTTAAATCAGTATTAATCTATATTTAAAACAAAAGTGAAGACATGGTTTGCTTATAACCGTAAATCAGGTTGGGAACCAGGGCCAGACCAATAATTTGAAAACATACCAAAATGGACTGCTTGCACTTTCTTCGATTAGATTTGTGCAAGGCTTACTTTTCCCGCGCCAAGTAGTAACAAGGTCGGCCTTTGCTGAGCGCCTTGCTATTTTTATAACGGTGATATCGGAACGCTCAAGTCGTTACAGGCCGTTCCCAAATTATATACCATTGTATAAAATCAAATATTATTCAATTTTTTTTTTTATTTTAACTAAAACCATTATTAATTTTTAACAAAATACAACTTCGATGGAAGGAAGGAAAAAATTCACGCTCAAAAATATAATGTTTGTTGATATTAAGAACTTCTTAGTCGTTCGGCATAAGCCATAAGCCGATTTAAGCGATTATTGGAAGACACTTGGAAATTTTGCCCAAATTATTTGTAGTTGGCATAAAAACTTGATTAGACAACTGAAGAAAATTAAAATTTTATTCCCATAAATGAAACTTTTGATTTTGAAAATAAATTATTATTCAGCCCAATCAAAATTGTTAGGCTGGCTTTGAAGACGGCCTCGTAAAAGTCAGCTGTTTGAAATGACGTCAGTCATTTTGCCGTCACACGCTCTCTGGTGCTCACTGGTGCTCATTCCTCAATATTCATCGAAACTCGTCCCCTGCGGGTGGAATTGGCTGCAATTAATTTCGGCTCGGCATTAAATTTGTGAGTACAACCAACGACCCCAAAATCGGCTTTTCACTTGACATATTCATGACTGAAAATTAATTACTATACAGGAGCGGGAAAATTAATTCGCACACGTCACGGTCCGCGTGGGGAAATTCCGATACGGCGGAAATTATGTAACCTAGGCAAATTATTGAGTAATGAGGCGTGCATGAGCAATCCAATTAATTTAATCAATTTGAGATTTGATTAAAAGCAAGAACACGCGCCGACCTTGAAACGTACACCAGGAGTGAATTTTGAACTTTGAAATCAAATGTTGCAAAATTATATTACTTGGTTATATTTTATATTGAATTGAAGAATTGCGGCAAAATGTGCTGAATTAAAAAAAAATATTAATAAATAATAATTGAAGCTACTTGCATATACTTTAAAAATCTTATTATTTTATCTTAATACAGTATTATTCCTATTAATCTCATTTTGAAATGAAAAATGAAACCGTTGTTAACAGGCACCTCGATTTCCATCCACAATGTCGACCCCCACAGCCAAATTCGCACCCGCTTCGCCAAATTTTGGGGATGAGAGCAGGGTCGGCAAGTTGCAGAGGAAAATGCAAGAGGCGCCACTTTTCCCCATAGGTGAGAAATTTAATTGAGAATTATTTGATTACTTTTTCTTATTATTGAACTTTATTTATTTTAAATACGCTGACAATAAGAATGACTTTTTATTTGATATGATATCTAATAAAATTTTTCTAATAACTCAAAATTTTAAGGCATTATGGGTCTACTTGGCGCCCTCGGCTACGGAGCTTATAGTTTCAAGAAGAAGGGCAATATGTCAACTTCAGTTTTCCTGATGCAACTCCGAGTGACCGCTCAAGGTGCAGTAGTCGTTTGTCTGACTGCCGGCGTTGGATATTCTCTGATCAGGGACTTTGTTCTGCCGAAAATGAAGTCTGCTGAGCACTAAGAGCGTTTTTTCAATAAGAGGTAAATAAAAAAATGTTTTAATTTAAACTAAAACATAGTAAAGATTTAGCTGTAAATTAAAAGTTACAATAATTAGTCGTTCTGAAAATTTAAATCTAAGCTTGTAGTTTATTTGCATTTTTTTTATATAATAAATCAAATATCAAGTTTTTAAGAATAAAAATAATTTTTGATGTTATTTTTTAAAATTCAATTAAAAAATTCTCTATTGTGTAATAACAATTTATTTTTATTTATTTTTTTTGTATTTATTGCATTTTTAATTATTTTAATTATTTATTTCTCTTTTTTAAAATTTTATATTGCATTACAAGATTTTGTTGGTAAATCAGAATGAATTTAAATAGAACCTTCTAACTTTTGTTGCAGATAGGAAACGTAATAATTAATAAAATGGCCAAGTTTGACTGTGATGCCTGAGCGACTGAACTAACTTTTTTCTCAACGTCAGGATGAATATTGTAAGGGGCTGGACCCCAAAATGTTTTGCATCGTTAAGTGTATGTTCCTTATTGAATTTTTTACATGTACAAAACGATGATGAAGCGAGCGCGACTTGTATATCTATTTTCGCCCCTCGAGTGAATATTTTATAAATATGTAAATATCCCAAAGAGCGATAACCGAGCCGCATTATACGCGAGCAAATTGAGATTGACAATCAGCCTCTCTTGAGCGCTACTTTGGGGCACCAAATGCGAGGAATTGGAAATCACGTCCCGCTGAATTTGAATATTTCCTGCTTTTGACGAGAATATAAAACACAAGAGCGCCAGGGAACGCCACTCAAGGATGAATGGAATTACCACAAATCTGAATAAAATTATTTACGATCAATAAGAGTCAAGCTCCGTCTTTGTTTCACTCAAAAAAGGGAAACACCATGGTAAAAAATTCAATAATATAATCCTATTAAAATCGTTTTGAATAATTTCATTTCATCGAATTTTGTAGAATCCAACCACAAAATTTTAATTCTGTTTACAACAGAAGATTGGTAATTTTTTATGGATTGAGCTAATTTTATTATTGCGTTTTTTCATATAAAAACGTTCATAGTATTTGTAACCATTAAAAATATCTGTTATAAATTTTGAATGAAAATACAAAAACATCCCAAATTTTATCTCTAAAACTGGAAAAACTGTTTTGCATCAAAATTTTATGACCAGAGACCCTTTTGAAAATCCAATAAAAATATTGGAAAATTTTTTTGGAATTTTTTATTGAAATATCACTTACTCTGTACTTAAATTTATTATAATTCAGGCTGTTTTAAAAACGAGGAAAATACTAAGGTCTTGCAGCTGTGGATTGGCAGACACGTACGTATGTTTCCATGTTTGTCGTGATAATTATTTTATAAGTAAGGCGCACGGAGTCGACCTGGAGCCGCTGAGTTGTTGAAGGGTTGTTTTAACGCGCGTGGCCTGGATATTTTGAATTTGGAGGGTGCTTCACCTGCACTGTGACGACGAGGGGGTGAAACCCGAGGCAGCCCCCGGCCATCAGCCATCGGCTCGAGTTTCCTTTTTATCCCGACTGTGCTACCAGACACACGGCCGCCGCCATTAAAGCTCGGCCTAACATTCTGCAAAAGAGGGAAACTCGAGCCCCAAAGTAGCGAATGGTAAGAGAAGAACTTGGTGCAATCAAAAAAAGAATTAAACCTTCAGAGGAGCAGATTTCGTTAGCGATATCAAGTTGCCGCGCCATTTTTGCAACTTTATCCAAGGGTGTTGCTCTGCGCAAAAATCCACTCCTCGATATATAACAATTTTCAGAGGTCGTTAAGAAGTTCTAGGAAATGAAGATAGGAAAAATGTACTTAAATGGTAGGCTTGCTTGCTGCTGATATATAGAAGTGAACGATATTTTTAAAGTTGCCCAATTTGTGGTTCAAAACTTAAAGGTTTTAAGTTTATAAAAAAGTAAAATATTAATGTAATTTTTAATTTTTCACCTAAACTGTGTAAGGTAATGAATTAATGAAAAAATGGACATAAATAATAATTTTTTTGAACAGATAAAACTTTTTAAATTTTAAAAATACATGACTGGTGCAGATTTGATACAGAAATGGTTCAGAACTGATGCAGAGCAGCTGCACCAGTTCTGCACCAATTCCGCACTCGCTTTGAACCGGATCTGCACAAGTGCTCATTTTGAAATAGTTTGATACAAAAAAATTTTTTAAAATCCTAAGAAAAATTAAAAAAATTTCTAAAAATAATTTTTTTTAAAAAATTCTCAATTTCAAAAAATTATAAAAAAAAACGCACACACTAAAATTACTAAATTATCTAGACGCAAGAACTTATGCTATAATTGAAGTAAAATTTATGAATAATATCATGCTAATTTAAACTGCAATGTAGAAAAAATAGGATATTGCCAGGGGATGAACAAAAATTTTGTATAAATAGATTTTAAATAGGGGTGAATTGCAAGTTAAAGGACTTTAATAGACGAAAATTCTGCAAAATCGCTATATTTTTTAATTAGGGCGCCTTATTGATAAATTATTTTTTTAATAAATAGTCCTGGCATTTTCAAAAAAAACTTGTCTATCACTGATCAGTCTCCTTCAATAGACGATAATTCTTGATATATTGTGGAAGTAATTGTATATCTATTAATGTAGATTAAAATTAACTGAATCAGTGCGGAAAAGAAAAAAAATTAGTTGAAGCTTTCAGAACTACTTTTTTTTTGGTTCGAAGTTGTTATTCTTCTTGAAAGGCTCAAATCGAACCCGGCCATGTGCACGCTGGAGCGATTTCTACACAGAAAAAGAGCAAAAACGCGACGACTTTTGCACTCGAGTGGGTGGGGGCGACACAGGATATTTGATCCTAAATCTCCGCGAACCGCTTCGACTCCCCCGAAGCCATCGATTAAAGAAAGTGGTAAAGTTTGTGCGCCGCCGAGTACGACGAACGCGGGCGGTGTGTCGTTGGTTCTTTATGAAAATTGCAGTTGTTGTTGTTGCGAAGGAGCCGTACAAGCGAGAAAAAGAGCCTGCCCGCGATTCATCACTAGACTTTGCCTGATCCTATACAATTGCTATAAATTCAAAAGGCACGCGAGCGACTGGACCAGGCAACTTCGCAGATTTATTTTCCTTGTCGCCTGCCGTAAAAATTTTCCACTTACTCTTAGATTCAATTTCCCTTAATTCGCGTTACTTACTTCCGTTATCATAAGTAATTATTATATTTAATTCATAGTATTTATCTAATTAGTGTGTAATGCCATTATTAAATTTTGATCAAAATTAGAAAAATTTTCGCCGTCTCAAAAAGTTACCCCATTGTTCAAAATGATTTTTATTTGTTTGTGAAGAAACGTTTGTGAAATTTTAAGTTTCAAAAGAAGTTAAATGTACCAAAAAAATATTCAGGAAAAAGTGTATGAGAAATAAATTTTTAGAAATAGAAATTTAAATAATTTTTTCTGTCAAAATTCGTCCGGATCTAAAGACAAAATTAATTAAAAAAATGCGAAAAAATTTGGAAGATTCTCCTGAAGTCGGCCCCTTTAAACAGTTTATTTGCATGCAGCCCAAAATGGGCGACCCGGGTCTCCTTGAAATTGGCCTTCGGATAATAACGCGACCATAGAATATAATACATCGTGCTGCATAAAAACAAGGGGTAATGTTTAGTGGCGTCCCGAGACCCGCGCCGGTGCGAGAGGATTAACAACTGCAGCGGAAAACAATCTAATTTTATGGCGCACAAGCGGCGGTCGGCAATTTTATATATGATAAGGGAAAATAAATTCAGTTGGCACGTTTCTTTTACACGATGTATAGCGGGATTGCTCTCGACGCCGAAAAGACGCCAACTTTTAAATTAAAAGTCATGCGGAGAGTTTTTCTCCCGGCGCGAAAATACGCGCGCGGCTTGATATAAAAAATTTTTTTCCGCTAGGCTGCTGAGTGAAATTTAATCGCTCCAAGTCGACTTAATTTCACGCTGACACGTGATTGCTAATGAATTTTTGTCGCTTTATGCAAGCAAAGTAAAAAGGAAAAAAGTGTCACATTAAGAATTTAACAAAATGTTGTTGAAAGAACTTTTTATCGAAGACATGATATTTTTCATGTTATCATTCTAGAAAATTTAATATAGTAATTAATTAGTATTTCTGTTAATTGGCTTGCTGAGTGAATAAATGAATGAAAAATTTAGTTAATTAAAATTATCATTAGAGAATAATAACTTTTAGCGCTCATATTATAATGGTGCTTGAGGAATCTTTTGAAAATTTGATTAAATTTATAACCACTTCTTACTGAAGAGTATTTTTCATTGCTTTATCTCTTGCCGCTTTTGTTATAAATTTCCCGAGGCAAAAAGTGCCACAATTGTGCGTGAAGTGGATACGCTTTGACCAAATTTGTGTGAAAAGTGGGCACATCAGCAGAGAGTGTCGAATTAACAAAAAGTTCCAAATGAGTGGAATTCTCCTTAATTGGGCCGTGCGTGCAGAGTGGTGTTATTTTTCATTTTCATGGCGCGGTGATCATCGCCTGCGAGGCCGTTAGTCAGATGGGCCCCCTTTTTGTTCTAGAAAAACGTACTGGAGAGAGAGAGACTAATGCCACGCAAAAGTAAAATGCCACTTTAAAATACATAAAATTACCATGAATCTGAATTAATTTGAATATGCCAAGAGCGGCTGCCTACAAATTGGGAATCAATATGCACAGGGGGATTATTTCAAAGGTAATATGTCTCGGGGAAGTGGAATTCAAATTTATTTCAAGCGCGCGTAGCTGTCCTCAATTCTGAATAAATAAAAATAATACCATTCAAATCTTCTTCAAAATCAGCTCTGAAAAGTTTCTGAGTAAAATCATATTTTACATCTAGAATAATAAAATATATTATATATATAAGAAACAAGTGCTTAGGGTAAAAAAATGATAAATAATTTTTTATTTAGAATTATGAAGATTTCTGCAAACTTTTGAAAAAAAAATTGAATTAAATTTCAAATAATTGAATTTTCATTTATTTCATTATTTAGGAATTGAAAATTATTAGATATAATAATTCGGCGCGGCTACGGCAAAGGCTGCTGTGAAACGCCGTGAGCTGCCGATTTTCGGCTTCTAAAAATTAAAAAAGGACAAGACTAACTAAAAATAAAAAAGTTAAATGAGTATTATTTTTTTTTATTGCATTAAAAAATTAAACCATTGACAACTCACCAATTGGCCACCAAAAAGAAATGGACAAAACTAAAAAAAAAAACTTGTGTGGCTTAATTTTGTCCAAATAATGTTGACAAAAAGGTGTCGCGACAGCTGGTAACTTGAGCCCTTTCTACGGTTAGGTGTGTCTCTCTGTGGCTGTAATTGAATTCCACATCCACTGATATCTTGTTCGTTCGAAAATTGCTTCATTGCGATAGCAAAATTTTGACTAATTTGTAACAAATCAATAGTGTCTGTGATACAGACTTGTTTGTACACTGTGTCTGGTTTGTCTGAAATTGCTGATGCGTCGCGTTTTAGTGCTTGCATATTAGCAGAGGGGTGCAGCCAGTCATCAATATTTCAGCTGCATCATCAACAATATATGTATATTTTGCCTCTTGACTGTAATGCGAAATGCAAATCCAGACAGAGAGCAGCATCATACCAGTCACGTGTCATAATTTTTGCCTCTCTTTGCTCTGTTGCTCTCGGTGTGAATGCGAATTCAAAATTATCGTCACATCACACGTAGTATAAGGAAGGAAATAAAATTGACTGCTTTTTACAATATATAATTTTATTTGAAAAGTTCATTAGTAAAAATATAGTTGATTTTAACAAATAAAAATAGTGAAAGTTGTGCGGATTGAGCAAAAAATGTGATATTGTAAATTTATAATATTTATTTCTAGTTTTTATAAATATTATTAAATCGCATTTAGTGTATCATCTAAATTTTATCAGTGTCATTGCAAATTTTTATTCATAGCGAATAGTTGAATACAAATTTATGCATTTCACCTATTTTCAATAATTT